CCCTGCCGGACCTCAACCACGACCATCCACGCCCAGTGTTCCCTGCCAGACCTCAACCACGACCATCCACGCCCAGTGTTCCCTGCCGAGCCTCAACCACGGCACACAACGACAAACACACAGTTACAAACACATAACCACAAACACAACCACAAACACACAACCACAAACACATATCCACAAACACACAACCACAAACACAACAACAAACACACAACTACAAACACAACCAGAAACACACAATCACAAACACACAACCACAAACACAGCCACAAACACAACACCACAAACACACTACCACAAACACATAACCACAAACACACAACAACAAACACACAACCACAAACACAACAACAAACACAACCACAAACACACAACCACAAACACACACCCACAAACACACAACCACAAACACACAATCACAGACACACAACCACAAACACAAACAAAAACACAAACACAGCCACAAACACACAACCACGACCACAAACACAACCACAAACACAAACACAACCACAAACACACAACCACAAACACATCCACAAACACACAATCACAAAGACACAACCACAACCACAACCACAACTACAAACACACAATCACAAAGACACAACCACAACCACAACTACAAACACACAATCACAACCACTACCAGTACCACAAACACAGTCACAAACACACAGCCACAAACACAACCGCGAACACATCCACAAACACACAATCACAAACACAGCCACAAACACGCAATCACAAACACAACCACAACCACAACACACAACCACAGCACACAACCCGAGGACCCGCAAGCAAAATCGAAAACTACAATACTCACGACCATGGCAACATGCTCCTCACTATGGCATCAAGACAAATGATTGAAATGTCATGGTGGGGATCACTCGAAGTAAAGTAATTGTTTTTTGATCCCTCTCCCTCCCGGAGGACTGCCGACCAGATCCTGGTGTCAAAATAGACAAGGCTAGAAAGCAATGCATTTGGGGACAGCTCCAGAAAGCAAAAAAGGCCTGGCTCCAGAGTCTCAAAAGGTTCTAGGGTTCAAGTAAGAGAGCCTAGTTCCAGCATTTCTGGCAGAAAGTTGCGATCAAAGCCTGGTTCCGGAGTTCCAAGCGAAAAGTTGCGATCAGAACTTGGTTCCAACATTTCTAGGGTTTCAGAGTTCGGCGGTCGAGGGTTCAAAGCCCGGTTCCATAGTCAGTCAGAGGGTTCCAGTGTTTCAAGGCTCCAGCAATCCAGGCGAAAAGTTGCGAGTACGTCATGCTTCCAAGAAAAGTAAGAGTCTAAGAGTCTAAGAGTCCAGAAAATCTGTAACTTCCAACTATCTGGTGAAAAAGAACTATATATATATATAGTAACTCGGTGACATATCCGCACTTCTATCCAGCAGGCCTTCAGCACTTTGGGTGCAAACTCCATGCTGGGGCTCATCACCTTTCGTCCAAAGACCTGCACCAAGTCCTCTTCCGCGATCATCGGAGCCACTGGACGGTACCACTGGCGGTGCTTCAAGCGGTTCAACCGAGCCTGACTGAGAGTGTCTTAAAGAGACCGGAAATCAGCTTGAAATGATGATGTAAAAAACATTTAATTCTAATAGCAAACTTCTTGTTACTACTAGTAAGGCACATGTTACTACTAGCGATGCACTTGTTACTACAAGCGTCCTTTCCCTTCGAAACCATGTGAATGCACTGACCTGAAACGACAAACCTCAAAGCCGAGCGTTCTTTCTCTTACGAAACGCATTCCAGCTTCTTCCGTCCTCCACTGCCACAGGGCACGCCAAGACAGAATGGACATCGCACCGGGAAGGCAACTTCACTCCTATCCTTGCCAGGCAAGTTCCTTTCTTTTGCGCCAAAGCACGGGCACGAACTGGCAGCAATAGCGATGAGTCCGCAGATCATCAGGAACTTACTTACTCAACGCCAATACATTGCACAAACAAGAGTGAAGCATGGAGCAGTTCAGAGTATGTTGGAAGGCAGAGAGATATGTTGGAGACACAGCAAATGCCGAAGCACGAGCCTACTATATCACTCACTGTCGGCAAATCAATCATGAACGACTACACAACTGTCAAATCACTGCAGCATGGCTGGGAGACCATGTCTGCACATGGGTATCAAGACATCAATTCAGAATTTAGATACTCCCTCTTGAAAAATCGTCCAGCAAATCAATGGCAGTCAGCCCCAGCCATCTACAATACAGGCTTCCTTGCAATTGGCAGCCACCAAAACGCACAGATTGATATCTTACCATAAGATTCGGAGAACAACAGAAAACATTCCTGCGAATTGGTATGAAGAACAAAAGCATGCTAAAGCTGCTAAAGCTAAAGGTGATGCGGTATACTGTGCAAGTCAGAAAAACAAATTCAAAAGTTTCTCCCAAAAGGGCACCTTGATCTCGTAGCTGTCAGGAACTGCCAGCAAGGACCGATGCCCCAAGGCACGTGGTCCAAACTCCTGACGTCCTCGAACCACTGCGATAATGGGCTTCCCGCCCATCACAGAGGAGTTGGAGGTCAAGAGTTGAGCCAAATAGTGAACACCTCCTAAATCGTTGAGATTCGAGGCAGCTCTTTGGCGAACCTCTTGAAATAGGATCTCCTCGTCAAAGAGCGGGAAGCCCAAGTATTGCAACTGCTGCACCATTCGCGGTGGCTGTACGGCCCAAACACCACCCACTGCCAGCCCTGCATCATTAGGCGCAGGAGGCACGTAGACGCCTAAGGGCCTGAAGTCAGTGCGGTGATGGGACTGTGTTCCAGCTTTTTGTCCCTCCTTGGTGAGAGTATCACGGATCAGCTGGTTTGTAATGACGTTCAAAGCACATCCCCCGGTCAAGACAATGCCCTCCACATGTGTCCGGGCCGCTTTCAATTGTTCTAGCATCCCTGAGATCATTCGGTACAAGCGCTTCTGGAACTGTGCTTGAATCTCGGCTGCCAGCCGTTTCTGGCCATCTGAGGAGGTGCAGGACAACTTGAGTAGATTTGGAGGAAAGCGATGATTGTAATTGTTCGCTTTCATTCCTGTCTCTGAAAACATGGGGTCGAAGAATGCTTCCAGCTCAGCCTGCTCTACGGCTGTGAGCCTTCCAGGCTTTCGCAGGCCTGAGTAGCCCATGAGTTTGCCGGCAAAGTCTAGCTGAACAGATGGGTGGTAAATGTTAAACACATACCAGCCATCTTTCACCTTCAGCTCGCCCTTGAGCCACTGGCCACAGATGTGGTCATGCAACATCACAAAATACTTTCCGGCCACATCTGGCAAAAGCATTTGAAAGCTGTTGTAGAGAGTCGAAAAGGCCGCGTGGAAGTTGCCGATCCGCTGAACTTCCGCCCCCTGGCCCAGAAAGACGTTGAAAATTCCATCGTCTCCACCGCCATCAAAGGAAACAATGAGAGCCGAACTGAAGGGTGAAGCAAAGTAGCCTAACAATGCATGTCCTCAGGGAAGGCAGGAAAGTCAGGCAACCTTTCTCAGTTTCTATTCCTGTTTCACTGTTCAGCAAAAGCCTGTTTGCTTCTTTACTCATTATAGCTATCGGGTCTTCAGATATTAAACCAACATATGGAAAGGAAGCAACGTCTCCCAACCTTCATGATGATGTACATGGCGCCACCGTCCCACCTTGCCAAAAACCTCTTCCACAATGAAAGGAGTCTGTGCAGAAACCTTTGGCTTGTAAAAGGGCAGGTCCATCAACACTCCTTCATCAAACTTGGTAGGGCACGCGCCACCCTCACAAACGCATTTGTCACGCATCACTTTCAGCGCTTTCCGCATAAACGGTTGAAATTCATGGTTTCTTCTCCATGGAACCATGTACCGGAATCCAAAATATCGCTCAAGCTCCAAAACGCAAAGAACTTTCCCATGTTTGGCGATGGCGATGTTGGCATCATGACCATAATGTATTGCAATCACAGCACCTTGCGATGCAAGCACCCTGTGACCACTTGTAAACCTTGCGGGCAGCTTCAATTCCGTGTCTTTTATGTGATGGCAGTCCTGCTGCCAAGCTGCATAGAGCTTCGGCCTATCGAAGTCCGGCTGGAACGTATTCCTTTTCGCTTGCAAGTAGATCCCATTCGACTCATTGAAAAGCCACAAGTTTTCACTGCTCCACCCGACAAAGGCCCCAGTCGCTGTTGACGAGTAGGCTTCTCGCAAGCATGGATGCCGCTCCACCAGACTCCAGCCAGTGCCAAAGCCGCTGAAGGCCACAATCACTGGCACTACTCTCATGGCTAAGAGTAGGCATCAAGTTTTCGGAGCATTGTTTTTTGCACTTGGGAGATGTTCGGAGTGCTTGTTCTTTCAAAAGAGTCTTGAAAATAGCAGTCCTGTCTATGGGGCTTGCCATAGAACCACATCGCTAAGCACTGTTGAACCAAACGCCACCGCTTCAAGATTGATCTCAATGCTGACATGTACAGTTTGGTTGGCAAAAAAACACACACTCCTTTCTCCGCAAATCAACAGTGGCACTGTCACATGAACCATCCTCTTTTGAGGGGCTTGGAAGAGATCAAACCTTCTTTTCCACAGAGATTCTCTCATACTTGGTGGTGTTCTTTTACAAGTCACGCATCTCCGCTAAAAATCACCCAACCCCCATCAGGACACCAGAATCGTGTAAAGTCACCCAAGTCTGCGAGAAGTCACTCAAATCTTAGCAAAAGCCAATGGAGACACCATTCCCCTGGAGGGTCATGAGAAATGCTTGAATTGTAAGAAAACTTTGCGGACACAGAGACTGGACAACACGTTTCGTTTGTCTTATCATTGTTTCAAGCGCCTATCATCATGGGACACCCCTCAGCAAAATATCATTTGAAAAAATATGTAAGAATATGATAGAATATGTAAAAAACAATGGGACATGCATTGGATAGGGAAGTACCGTTTCGGAAGACTGGTCCCAGCCAACAGCTGTTTCGTGTAAGGGGTGCTCCAGCCCTTCGCGAGTCCTGCGCGAGCTAGACTCACATGAGTCCATGATGCTCTCATATTGAAATATGCAATCATGCTGGCTGGGAGCAAATCCTCTACATGTATGATGCAATATGTAACGCGGTTGATGCCCAAATGCAGCTGCACTGCACCCGGACACACTATGCACGCACGACTTCACGCAAGACCGAATGACGTAACCCAGGCCCTGGCGCCCAGTATCTTTATAGGTGTTCTTGAGTTTTCATAGGAACAAGGACGCTACTACGGGCTCCTGGCCGTACTACTAGGAACAAGAAGCTATTAGGGGCTCCTGGCCTTACTACTAGGAGCAAGGACGCTACTAGTAACAAGATGCTGTTGGTATACCTACGAAGAATGTTCCAGACCTCTTGTGGCGGCATGGCAAAACCTGAGTTCACACCACCGGCACCAGAAACGACACAGTGATAGTTTCTCTTCCCTATAGTACAGTACACTGGCTCAAGCAGAATCTAGACAATCAAACAAACAATCACAAACTGAATGTCCGCGAGTGTCCACAAAAATCATCATATGTCAGGTTGCAGGTACTTGACAGTAGCAAAACCAAATGTGTACTCCTACCAAGTGGAAATTGGACTGCCGCGACCCTCAAGAAGCTCCAGCTCTCGCATGAATAAGGTATGTTCAATCCCACGAAACTCCTTTCAAGAGAGAATGATAAGGAAGGTCTGAATGCCCTCGTCAACATCCTGGCAGCTTCGAGACATCGCAACTTTTCCTCAAGCTCTTGAGCATTTTTCCTGTGGGCAAATAGTGCCACGTCCTTTCTGTGTCTGTCAAAAGACGGAGCTGAGGTGCTTCCTCATGGCATCGCAGTATGCCTCCTTATTGAGTTAGGCAGTTCTTATACACGCACATGGAAGGGCGGTTCTCTTTGGAAAATTGCTATGTGGTGCAGAGCCTCTTCCACACTTCGGGTTTCAATGATAGAATGCACCTCAAAAAGAGCCCGTTGGTCCTCCTGCTTACCGTGTCACAAAAAGTCTTGAGGTGCACCAGTGGTCATGAATTGACTGCGGGGTCCTGCTTTGCATGACCACTGGTGGTTGGATTTGGCCAGGCGTCAACATCTGCACCTGACAGCTGAGAAGTCAGAAGATCATAGAAGATCTCTGCAGTTGGTGAACCTCTGAGATCTGGAACCTACCCTTCGGGTTCACGAGTGTTGATGCTGTTCCAGATCTCTGGTCACCTTGAATAGTACGGCCTAGCAACCAAGGAATGCTAACCTGCATCTGCTACACTCGAAAAAATACCGTCTGAAAACTCATGTCTTAAAGTATCAAAGAAGTATATATCTATGATTGTGAGCTTTGAAAGAGTGGTGATGCAAGAGCACAACTAGAGTGTCGGAATTCAGGTCCAACGCCAAAAACAGTTTCAAAAGAAAGCAAACCAAACCCCACCACCTGTGACTTAGGGCCTATAGGGTTGGACCTCAGGAGGGCAACACTGACATCACAAACGAGAGAAGCGTTTGCAACGGAGAAAGACATCCGAGGAACCAAGACCGTGTAGTTCCGCTCGAGAGCGGGGATCAACGGCTCCCCTTTGCTTCGCTCCCACCAAATGGCAGTGCCATTCCGATAAAGGTCCTTGACAATCTCCCACAAAGGTGCCTTCATGCCTTGGCTGCAAGACCGAAATAGAAAACAGCTCAGGAAGGAAATCGGGAAAAGATAAACAGAAAGCAGGGCAGCGGACTAGCTTGGATGATCATCAAGAGCACGTGCTCTTCTTGTATATAGATTCACAAGCTTTTGCGGTTGACACTTCCTTTGATCGAGTACCCTTGTAGGATCCTTTCACCTTGGAATATCTTGCCAGCTTGGAATCAATCTCTTCATTCAAGAATGTGAGCATTTATGAGAAGGCTTGACTTTGACTCCGCCGTGCTTCTATCTTGCGTGAACTTGCTTGAGGGGACTTTGTCTTATACGCAATTTGATTATGTACATTTGATCTATTTAAAAAAATGATTAACTCTTTGTAGTGGCTGACAGTTCTCATCACTGTTTGACCAGATTTACTTCGCATCATATCTTCATCCCGATTCTCCCTCACACTCCTCTGTACCACAGAAGGACTTTTAAATGGACTTCCCAAGTCTTCGGCCCAAGGTGTTGCTCTTAGTCGACTGCAAAAACGTCCTCACGCCATCGTGTAACATGCAACCTGTTTCCAGCCTAGGCGTCCAGTCACACACGGATCCGGATCCTGTCCACGACCACCATCCGGCCTGCCCATTTAAAATCATGGGTTGCCCAAACAAAGAACACTCGAAGGCACGATACGCACAAAAATCAATGTTCCACCGAAGTGCGGTATCTCCACATGTCCACTTTGATGTATCTGGGAACTTTTCGGCCACCTGAAAGCCCGTGAGGATAAAAGGCTTTGCTTTCGGCCGTCTCTGGTGCAAGAAGCTTGAGCACCACATCATCCCCTGACAGTCTGACAGTGTCGGGACCAGTATAAAGCATTTGAGCAAAAGAAGCACTCTTGAAGTGGATTAACCATCCAACCAGCTCGCGGCAAGTCTAGCAATTTGGCTGATTCGGGGACAAGGACTCGAGTTCTTTCTAGATGAGCGTAAGCATCTTAGTCAAGAGCCTGCGACGCGGAACAGGATCAGGCAAGAAAGCGATCCAGAGAATGTCTGCGTTTCATGAATTTGTTTGCCGGGCAAGAATCTTGAATTGTTTGGAATGTGAAAGTGAATCGATAATCAACACCTTTCCAACATGCTCAGTTGAAACAAACACCTGAAGCCTGCTGAAGCCGTACTTCCCTCAAAACCAGTTTTCGAGCCGTCACTTCACAAGTTAACCGTCTTCACAGCCGGCAAAGTCTGTATATCTGGACTAGGGTCTCTGTCTGTATACATTGAGCACCCAGCCGTTTTTTGTGGAGGAGTTCGCAACCACCGCCTTCGAGGATCTTGGCCAAGAAGGACCACATCCAGGTCTCTCTTTGTTGCAGATAGGCTTGGTGAGGCTTGAAGCCCAGGAACCAAATATTCCAATCCAAGCGGTAATGATATGGAGCACACATACCTTAAGGGGGCCGGCTGGGGAACTCTGGATCCCTTTGCGCTCCTCATTTTTATGGCCCGTAGAGATCACAACCCTTCCAGAAGTCCTTTCCAATAGTTCTGAAGACCGGCTGTCAGGGCGACATATCTTTGTACAGCCCTCAAAGGAGAATAAAAGAAGAGCTACCTACAGTCACGATCTGGAAAGTTGAGTGGTCCTTCTATCTCTAACATTGGGTAATGCCGTGAATTGCCTGACAAGCGAAGGTAGGATGCCCAAACATCAAAGTTATGTCTTTTGGGGCCTGGGGAAGGAACCAAAACGAACTGCTTGGGCCTTAATGTCCATTCCATTTCGGACCTGTTTGGACAGTATGGCAGCTGAGCTGCAGGGCCTCCGGTCCAGTCGCCCAGGCTTGCAGGGGAACTCCAGCTCGTGCCATTGGCGCTTGTCATGGGAAACAGACACGATTGCCTCATAGCGCTCCTGGTGTTAGAGACGTGCAAAGCTTTCAACTTCCGGACGTTGGGCCGGAAGGAGCCCTTAAAATATGGTCCAGTCTGTTGGCTTGGTGAATTGCAGTATATACAGTATTATCATGGATCTTTAACTGCGAGTGGAAGGCTTGCATAGGCATAGGCTTGCAGGGTGAAGGAGGAAAGACACTAAATGACAAGCTTTTCTTTGGTCCTTGCCCACATTCCCGAAGGCTCCATAGGTGTTGACCAGGCGAAAAGCTCCAAACGAGGCATTCATCATCTGACGGCCTTCGATTTGAAGAAGGTTCTTGGCCTTGCAGTGACAACTTGGTCTAGAACATGCTTTCGGATGCTTTTGGTGGGTCTGACTCTGAAGCTAAACTGTTGCATTTACAAGACGGAGCCACCCCGTCACGTGTGCTTTGGGTCCTTGATATGTCTTGACACACTAAAGTGACCAAATACATCGAAGTTGTTCACCAATGCACTTTTGGTGGGCAGCTTGAAAGGTACACAGCAACTTATCAAAAGAATCTTGCAACCAAACAGGTTCTGCCAGGTGACCACCGGTAAGGACCTCGGCTGAGGCAAGTCGATTTGGCCACGTTACTCTGATCATCCATGCGATGTCAAACGATTCATGCGGTCAAGTGACAGGTACGCGATCGTGGAAAAGAGCGTCAAGTCAACAAGCCAACGAGTCCCTTTGAAGATTAAGGGGCATGTTCCGGATCTCGGAGTTTCCTGGAAAACATGCAGTCTACCAAACATTCAGTCTGAATCTCTTGAAATGTTTCAACCGATTCTGGTGTCATCAAAAACAAACTGGTTTCTGCTATCATTTCTGCTACAGTATCACTCTTGTCATACCAACGCCAACGCTTTTGTCAACACCTTCTCCACAGGTACAACACCTGAGGCGGTTCCTAAGGCCAAGCCTTCGAACCTTCACTTGATACACACCTTTGGCACCCTGACCTTGACCACCTTGGGCCTCTGGAAGCTCCAGCAGGCGTCATCCAAGCAGGCCAGCGCAGGAATGATCGTCAAATGATTCAGAAAAGACAAATTCCCAGAGATGGCCTGACATGATCTCCGAAGTCCAAGTTTGACATCTCTCTCTTCGACATCATTGGGCTTGGACCAGAGGTGTTGGTCGGAAGGGGGCAATTCCTCCGGGTAGCAAGAGGGAGAACACAGGACAACTGAATGAACTCTAATTATTCCCTATCAATCAACGGCCATTGAGGAGGACAAATGGTGCAATTCAATTCAAAGTTCAATCTTTTTCCTGCACAAAAGCCAAAGCCTTGATGATTTGGGCAACGACGAGGTGCAATGTTGAGCATGAAGAGTGCTTGTATTAAGCCTCCGATCCGTCTCAAATACTTCAGCAGCCCAAATCCGGGGATCAGGACCAGCCAAACAGCATAGAGTTGTACAAAGATATCCAGATCCACGCCACGCGATAGCATGTTGCCTATGCTGGGAAAGCAGGTCGTAGAACGCGGCTGTCTTCCCACTTTTCGTTGTGTGGAAACACTGGCCAGTACCCATGCCACACATGCCCATGTGGGGATTTTGAACAAATTGTCAACAATTTTGCATCACAGAAGGATGCGGCCATGACCTAAATGTGAGACAACCTTTCTACCAACAAGAAGCCCTTGTGCGAAGAAGCTGGTTGTCATGGGACAAGAGCCAGGAACCCCTCTTCCATGCTGATCACATTCCAGGCTCAAGCCACCTTCAAGCTCAGGCACGGGGCAAAAAATGCCAAAGAAACGAGAGCGGCGAAGGATTCCTCAGATTTGTCAAGAGTTGCGCAACACGAGGAGGAAAGAAACAGCGATTTCACGTTTGTTGGTTGGGTTGTTCGGAATTGTTCCCGATGAGTGTATCGATGAACCTTTAGAGCCACGCCGGGTAAGCCTGCAAGAAAATGGTGTTTCTCATCAAACGTCGTGGTCATCTGAAGACTCATCCCAGCACCTGGGCAGGGACTCCTAGGTCTTGCTTTGGAAGCGTGATATGTGGCAGGATTCATCTGTTCAATTATATCTCTTTGTGGTCAAACCTAGAAGTAAAATGAAGTAACCCAACACCACCAATGAACCGCAGGCAGACCGAACGTGTTTTCTAAAACCAGCGCACTCGTTTCAACGCATTTGCCAAAAAGGATGATGCTAGTATGGTATATGGTATGGTACTCGACCACCCCACAAAAAAGGAAGGAAAGTGGAAGGCAAATGGCTCCTTATGTGGCACCAATCCTCAACTTATGTGGTCCCAGAACAAGTCAAAAAGGTCAAATGTGACCTCGGCCGAAGGCCATGAAACGTGGTTCTGAAACGTGGTTCTTTGAAGACGCCCTTGGCTCCTCCACCGCTCATATCATCCAGGGGTCGGCTGGGTTTCGAAGTGGTACCACAAGCAGGTTCGATCCGTCCAGCAACTGGAGCCGCGAACTTTGATGAGGCCCGCGCCTGTGGAAATCCTCGCGTTCGCATGATTGGGGATGATCGGGGTATAGAGTTGGAGGTGGTGGAACTCTCAGAAAACAAACTCTGCGACAGAGCCGCTTTTTGAGGTCAGTCTGTGTGAAGAGTTTGAAGGGATGGTAAACAAGAGCACCAAACCTCAGCACAAAATGTACACCTTGGACCATGCTGAATGGAGATGGAAAGAAAACGTGCTTCTTCACCCCGATTGATTATGGTGATCTACTCGGCGGCCTTCAGGAAAACTGGGAGGGTTGAGGGTGGCTATCACACCGATCTCGGCATGATCGTTTCATTGACTCTCACATGCAAGCCTTGTTCGGTGAGTTGTTGCTGTTCTGTCTGGCTACTTGCTTGGGGAGTGGTCGAAAGAAATCCAATGCTTTGTGCGTTTCAAGAGAGTTTCCAGGCTCAAGGTTGCTACTTGGTCCAGTCCAAACCCAATCACCATGCCCACTCCTAAAGCACAACCAGCGGAACAGCCATAGCACAGGCAAAGATGGAGGCGATGACAAATGGAAAGGCGACGATAGAAAGATTGCCAGGAAGCCAGTTTCCAACAGCCTTACATGCAATACATCACAATGCCCAACACAAGAATGAGCCCTGCAGACACTGCTTGCCATGCTTTCACACTTGCAAAAAGACTGCAAGGGCTGAAGATTCCACCTGGCCCAGAGGTCCGTTTAATGGTGTCGGACATCAAAGGTTCAGAATGATCCTCCCTCGAGGATCAAAGGAAGAAATGGTTCGAAACAAGGAAAACCAGTGGCCAAAAAGAATCATTGAAGAATTGGAGTGGTTCAAAGGACACCGTGACTGTAAACTGTCATCTCCAGGTCTCCAGGCATACATTCCCAACATGCAATCTTCAAACTTGCGACATTCGACCCGAACTCATGTTTATGAGGGGCTCTCCATTTCAGGTTCTTCACATCATGGTTCTGTTAGTTCGAACTCCAGGGTACTGGCTCTCCCAGCCATAGCTATACCAAGCAGTTCCATCTGCAGAGGTCACAATGGAGAAGTAAAGCAGCCATAAGAGTGCACAAATGAATGAGGAGAAGAGGCCACCTCAATCAAATGCGGCTGCCATTTGCTCCCTTGACAAGAATTGAAAAACAAGAAGAGCAAAGTAAAGGTCACGAAGTGGATCAGACTCACAGAAATTGCTTTGACTGTACTCGGACCGAACCTTTGATTTGAAGCTGGCCCAAAGCGGGGAAAGTAGTATCCTGCCTCCCCTTGGGCAGGGTGGTTTCGGTTCCAAGCCGCAAATCAGTGCCAAGCTAAGAGCCATCCCGGCTCCAGCAACCAATTGCATAGCCTCATCCGTCCTTGCAGGCGACAAAGAAAGAGCTGATAATCTGATAAATCTCTCCTTAAACAAAAAAACTCGCAACATTTGCCACCAATTCCCAACTGCATAATCAAATGGCTTTGAAAAGAGCTGGCCGATTTCGGGAAGCTATCACCACAGTGGGCAGCCGTGGATCAGGGCTTAAGCAGGAGAAGTGGGATTCTGTGACAACCATTCTGGAGGGGTTTATTTGTCTGTGGGTCAGTTCAACCCAGTTCCCCCGTTTAGATCTAGACCCATCGGTTAGAAGCGTTCTGTGGTATTGCGGGTTTTCCTTGTACCTGAACCTGGCCAAAGCTTCAATGGAAGAAACCAGAAGATGCTAGGTGCTGCCAGAAATCCTTGGTTGGCGAAGCGGGCCAATGATAAGTGCAGGCGTCCAATATCTGAAATCACCCCAGCCATATGGAAGACTGTTGGGATTGCCCTCCCCCTCACCCTTTCTCTGTGATGGGTTGCGGATCAGCCCACTGTTAGAACCATCAGTCGCGGGAAGACATGAGGCTTTGATGCCGCTCCGCTTCAGTGATCTCCCTTTGCTTGTTTAAAATCCCCACTGGAGTTCTTGTGGGCGTGCAGCGCAACGCGACCTTCCAAAATGTATAAGATTCAGCTACAGAAACGATAGCAGGCCTCATTCTGAAGTTTGCCAAAATCTCTTGCATGATAAAGATTCGAATGTTTGGTCAGTGCCGCACAAACGGGGAAAGCTGCCAAGGTATTGTTTGAGCAGAGAGTGCACTCACGGACTGTCCACATGACACTTAGCTGGGAAACCACGTTCTCGTAAGTTTTGTTCTTCTATTGGTTCCATTTTGCATGGAGAACACAAACCAGAGGGCCGGCACAAGAAGCGGTACAAAAGAAAAATGAAGAAAAACAAAGAAGGTTAAGTGCCCTTTAAAAAGGGTGCCTTTTCTTAAGAGGCCCGGCCCATACCTCCTTTTTGTGGTCTTTTTCACTGTTTGTTCTTGTATTTTGGCCACCATCGCCGAGGCTCCATCCATGGGTGCCATCTGCTGTTTCAGTTGTTCCACACGGCCGACCACTGGGGTTAAACCTCAGGTGACACAAAACTGGAAACAATTCGCGTTGGATTTCCCATTTGGAAAAACAAAAAAGGACCAACTTTGTTCGAAACATTTGCCAAATGAAAACCTTCAATCTGAAAAACACATGGTGTTCGTATGTCAGGCCGTGTGTGGATGCAATAGGGACCGAAATGGCATCTTGCCAATATATATACAGTATATATATATAACAATACGTACTCGTGCGGACTCGCAAAGCCCAGCACGCACGATACAAAAGACTCTCCCAAACCCCCATGTTCAGCGTCCAAGAAGCTGAGCAGCGACTCGTTAACTAAAAAAAGGCATCACCGTTTGGGGCGACAGTTGCAAGACTCAATATATCCTAATTGAAGAACCGCCAAGCAGCCTTGAGACCCGATGAGGCTCGGATTTTGATCATATGCCACCTGCAAAGATCTGCTCTGAAGAAGCAAGTGGGACAATCACTGGGTTGGTTTTGGGTCAAGTGGTCAGCTGCAGGCTGCAAGGTCAAAGGGAGTGGTTCCCAAAAGTGGATAAAATCATAACCAAACTATTCGCTGGCTTGGGATATTTGAGAGACCTGTGAAAAAAAAAAAAAAAAAACACTTTACGTCGAGTGACCCCCACGTGATCCCCACCACGGCACTTCAAAGGCGTTGGTTTGATGCCATGGTGGGAAGCATGAAACAAGTAAGCATTGATCACATGCCATATGTTGGATCACATGAACCAGTTCAAGCACTATGCACCATGACGTTTAAAGTGCCTGCGCAAATGTTTGTCTGATGGAAACTGTCTTGTGAGACACACGCCGAACTTCCTGGTTGGGCTTCCTCTCCAGCTGCTCTACAGCTGGCATTCTATTCTATCTGGCATTCTGGCATCCTATCATGAGATATGCCGCATACTTGCTGACATTCTTTCTGGCAATCTGTTTGGCATCTCTTATGTTCTTTCTGGAATTCTATCTGGTTCAACGGTGGCGCCCACTGCGATCCTGAGCTCGTTGGTCCGGTGGTGCCCACTGCACTCTGGAGCTCGCACCGAAGGAAGGAGAAGGAGGAGGAGAAGGCGGAGGAGGTGGTGGAGTTGACAGCTGTGATTAAGTCTAACAACCCTCAGGTGGAATTTGGAGAGAAAACAAAGTGATCACCCCGGGAAACCAAGAGTTCAAATGGTCCGAAGGAAGTCAAAGACTCGTTCTTCGAACAGAGAGTTGCCTCTTACTATGGCCCACCCATGTCCAAAAGTGTCGCTGACCATGAGCATGAAAAAAACTGGTAAACCAGTAATTGAATTTGATGAGAGGTACTGATACTATAATCTGTATGATGGGCAGTGTCAAAATGACTGAGCTATGCTACAAAGTAGATTGTTCTGGAAAGCAAACCCAAACCCACCGTTCCTTCTGCGCACCCTCACTCAGCCAGCAACCCACTTCGTGCCACACAATTCCGAGGCGCCCAAATACACCAGAAACTCCTGATCGCCCCCCCAAACTCTGAAATCCATCCCGGAAAACACCACCTTGAACGCGATGGCATAGATAAGCCCCAAAAGCCGCAAAATGATGGACTTGGTCACGCAAAAGGTCTGCGCTGATCCGGGCTGTGGTCCATGAAGCTTTTTCTTCACCTGGCGATGGGTCAGTAAGTTCAGGTTCGTTGAAATTGTTGCTCGGAGCCTCCACCGCCGGTTGCATGACTTGGGGTGTCAGTGTCTAGGCTTGACTCCCTATAACCTTCCCCCGATGATGATAAATGGATGATACAAGCTCCCGGATCGTGGGAATGCACAAGATGGCTTTACCATGGGGCTGTCATTTGTAGGCCCGACTTGTATGAGGTTTGGGGTCCTTGCTATTCTGAGATAGGATTAGAACTCCACTACAAAATAAGAAGACTCTAAAGTCTAAACAGGAGTTGCACAAAGCACGGTTCTAAGGATATCATGGATTATCTAAGTACAACCGGCATAGAGTTGCATTCGTCCAATAATCTGGATCGCCAAAACTGGATGTTCAAAACCCATGTGTTCCACAGGGCTGTGGGGTACGAGACCCTGGACAACCTAGGCGGATTATGGCGGATCAAAAACAAGCAAACTAGTCACTAGTCCCTGGGAGATGTTCACCCTGCGAGCTGTCCCTCACTTTGCGTCATCAGTTTGTGCTGTTCCTGGGGGAACAACAACACCACTACTAGTACTAGTGCATTCTTGGAGTCCGAAAGCACTCCCCCATGCCTCCTCCGGGTCCGCCGGTGGTTCGGTCGCCGCGGTCGGTCTCGGCGCCGTCGTCTGGCCACGGTGGCGCAGCTCCATAGTCTTTGTCTGCCGCTAAAGGATTGTGTTGGATGAGATCCTAACCCAAGAGAAACATGAGTGAAAGAGATCCTATGAGATCCTGTTTCTGATAAATTTAAAACAAAAACAACACAAACGTGAACTGCGGATGGGGTAGAGTAGGCTGCCCAAACATTCTCAAGGACCAAGCAGATTGGCACAGTGAGCATCCATGAGAGGTCACGGTTGTGATGCCTAGGAGCTTGCTGGTGACATTGGCTAGCTCATCGCTTCTTGAACCATATCTATGTGCATGTCTACAATTTTTTTCTTGCAGCCAATGCAGCCAGCGCAATAGATGTTTTGGATTGGTTTGGAACATCCTAGAGGCCCATACTGAGGCGTAAGGCCAAGCGCCTTACAGATTACATCTCCTTTCGAGGGCGTCCAAGTGCAATTGACCTTCATAGCTTCAGGTGCTTTCCGGATGGACCACCTCTTGACGAAAGCGACCAGGAAGAATGGGTGGCGATTTTCTCTGGGAATGTTTTTCAGTGTTTTGTTCTGGGTTTGTTTTCGCGGTTTTTCTGGAAGTGCTTTACAAGCATCAGGAGCAGCCGAAGGGTCCGGATAAGAAGCAGCAGAGCCAGCGGGAGGGAGAGAGCGAGACAGTGACAAAGCGAGGGAGCAGAAAGGGCATCCCACTAAACGAAAGAGAAGCAGCAGTGAGGAAACAAGGAGAGGAGAACTAGGGAGTTCTTTGCGGTTGTCTTCGGGTTTCACTGGTTTCGGGTTTCTTTGGGTTTGGGGTTCGGTTTCTTGTCTTTAGGGTTTCTTTGGGCGCTCTTACAGCTTCACTTCTATTAAGAGTTCTTCGGCTTTCCATGTGAAAAACAGAAGGCAAATGACCCTTGGGCCACAGGCTACCAGCCGTCAGGTGTGGGGTAATTGGAGGAAGACAAGTTCTTCAAGGTCCAACAACTTGACTGAATTCAATCCACGTAGAAGCCTGTCCACAAACACTTCTCATCTCACAGCCTCACAGCTTTGCATGGCGCTGTGAATCATGAGTTCCCGACATCCTTCAATGTTCCTGGAAGAGTGCATTGGACTGACCTCAAGTGCAGCGGTGGGAAAGCTTCGACATGTCCAAACGATCCTTTCGCAAGTGAGGAAACTTGTGGCAATCGATCTGTACCGGCAACTTTCTCTGTTTGCGGAGGGGAGTACTTGAGGAAATATATACAGCAATTCACCTAGCCGCGATTTTGTCAAAGGATTCAACATGAGAGTTGGAGGCTTTGCCCAACCCAAGCCATTTGTTTGGCTGCCATCACCATCTACTCGACCATGCTCCTTGCATCATTTGGACCAAGGGAAGCTCTAGACCCGGTAGTCTGCATACCTGTTCATGGTTGCTGTAGGAGGTAATTTTCATGTTGCTTCTAATTACACCACTTCCTGCCCTGAAATCCAAGCATTACAACAGGGAGTCAAGCAATCCCGACAAGTCAGTGAGGGTCAATGAATGTAGTCTACACTGATTCTGGTTGCTGGCGAAGCTCTTCGGAGTGAACAAACGTGCCACTTTGGGCAGCTGTGTATCAAATCCTCTCAACTGCAACCACCACAACATTTCGTGGCAGGGCTCAAGAAGGTCAAGAGTCGCACCTGGTCAGAAGCAAGAAATTGAAGGACTCCAGTCGAAGGTGAAGCGCTTTCTGCTTGATATAAACCGATGCTCAGGTAGCAGGCGCAAGTGCCATGTGTTGGTGAGGATTTTTTTTGGTGCAAGGTGCTGATGGAGGAGGGCGCAAGAGCCAGGACAAACTGATAACATATCTGACGACATTCTATGTGATGCTATGGAAATGATATGAAATGATGTGGTGATCAGGATACGCTTCGGGACAAAGAAAGAGGTGAAAAAAGTTATGACTCACAAAGTTATGATGCTTTGAAGCCCTTGCTACCGTATGCATGCGCTGTGATGCTTGTGGCTGATGCAGCAACCAAGATTTTGACATTATGATGATATGTCAGTACCAAAGCTGACTTGATGGCAGGAGTCCACCATATTATCCGCATGCCAAAATGTATGCTTGATCTGCGGGTGGTTACAAAATTCGCAGGAATGCACTTTGTGGGGTTCCAACGAAAACACAGCATAGCGTCACGACGACCAGGAATCCACCTATTCAACCTTCAACTCATTCTTGATGCCTCACTCATCTGGCAGGGCAAGGAAGGCCGCTACCGAAAGCTCCGGGCCATAGGAGAGGAAGATCAAAGCAAAGTTCAAGACCTAAGGTGGTCTGTGATGTGAACCGTTGAAACTCATCGAGCCGCGGACCACTCTTCATGTTTATTTGGTGACTGAATCAGGGCATGGGAAAGTGTGAACATACCTTGTCAGTTCGAAAGGACAAATCATTGGGAAAAGGACAAATGATTGCAATCAGTGGAGCAGAAGGGCTTACCACTACATGCCATACCGTTTTCACCATGTTTTTTTTCACTGAACCCTCAATCCTTCTTTGGTGCATGTCTAGCTTGCCATGCGGGAATATTATACGATATCTATACTATAATATATTATATAGTACTATAGTATATTATGTATATATATTACATATTATACATTATATATTATATACCGTACATTGATTTATGGTTCCTTTTGGTAAGCAACGCCTCAATGGACATCAATGAAAACATGAAGGTTCTTGATTTGAGTGATAGTGCTATATGTGGTAGGGCTTTCGGCATGCAACGCTGGGGAGTCAAAAGTGAAGCAATTGCTGGAAGTGGTGGGTGAAACGAACTCACTCAGCAATGTCATGTTGAGGATCATTTGCTTCCAAGAGTAGCTCAGCATGTCTCCTCGTGTCCCTAGATACCATGCCCTTCCACTCTAAAGCATAGCTATCTTCTGCTTTCCCTTGCAATCTCATCTCAGATTCTGTGGGATTGGCCCTCCATTATACCAAGCTAGTGCAGTAGCCAAAACGCCAACATGCCAATCCTAGCATTCCCGTGTTCCAAAAAGTCAACACGCCAAGAGGCCACCAACCACTGAACAAGCCCCATCCTCGGGCCCGCCGATGCGATCATCAAGAAAAGGCGATCAAAATGGTGGTGCAAAGTGCTTGTTTGTTGGCACAATCATCTCAAGTAGCGAACATTCCCACAAAGGCTCTTGTGAATGCCAGGCCCGGGTGGCCAATGTGATTCTCTTTAGAGGCAAAGGTTCCTGATGTTCCCTCGCACCTCCAGAATATTTAATCTGTGAATCTGCGGTTGAATTGCCTCGGGGCCTGGACCAAACAGAGCAAGACGCCGTTGGCTGGAGCTTGAGCCAGTTACTCTATTGCTAGATTCTGCCAGAGTTTGCCAGATTCTAGAGTTTTGGCCGTTGGGTCTGGGGGCTCTTGGCTCTCCTTTTCAGACTTACCCTAAGGCCTTAAGAAACCTCAACCAACCACATGTGAATCAAACTTCCTAGGTCTTGGACGTCACTGGCTTGGTTCAGGGATTTGAGTCTTGTTTGGTTCACCAAAATACCCCGCAGTTGATTGGTCAGTCCACCCAGCAATGTTGCGATGTCATGGTGTGGGATCTATCACAATTCATGCCGAGGCACAAGCTCCGAGTCCTGAGGATGCCAAGGGTAAGCAGAAACAATTCTCTGGTTTCTTGATTTCTGGAGGAACTGGACCTGCAACTAAGACTTGGGTACTGATGGGTACCCGAAGCAAAAGTGGATGACCTGGATGAGCCTCTCCGATAGAGACCTCGACTTCCAGTCCTGGGGGACTGCGCAGTAGCATTCTCCGAACGCTCCGCGAACTGCGACAGCAGCGGCACCAAGAAGACCAGCAACGGTCCTCGCATAAGCACCTGCCATAGACAGCGTCGTCATCCTATGTATGGAAAATGAAAATGTGTTGCAATAGTATTTCATACAGGCTTCTTGTACTTTGAAGGTGACCACAAAGTTCCCAATACATAAAGGGTATCACAATGAATTGAAAACGTTCAACTGTTCCTGCTAGAATATCTACATGCAAATCTGTGCAAGTACTTTGCTTGACCTCTCGGGCAACAGGTGTCTTTCTATACACATCAATCAATCAATCAATCAATCATTCATTCACTCAATCAACCTATCAACCAATCAACCAATCAACCAATCAATCAATCAATCATTCAAGTCAAGTCAAGTCAACTCAACTCAACTCAAACCAAATCGAATCAAACCAATAAAATCAATCAAACCAACCAAATCTATCAAATCAATCAAATCAATCAAATTAATCAAATCAAACAATCAATCAACTAATCGATCAAGCAATCCATCAATCAATCAATCAATCAATCAATCAAACCAATCAAATCAATCAAATCAATCAGTCAATCAACCAGTCAACCAATCCACCAATCAACCAATCAAAAAAACATTCATTCATTCAATCAATCAATCAATCAATAAATCAATCAAACAATCAATCAAACAAACAAACAAACAAACAAATCAACCAACCAACCAACCAACCAACCAAGCAAGCAATCAATCAATCAATCAAATGCAATCAAATGCAATCAAATGCAATCAACCAATCAATCAATCAAACAAACAAACCAACAAACAAATCAACCAACCAATCAATGAAACAAACAAACCAACAAACAAGTCAACCAACCAATCAATGAAACAAACAAACCAACAAACAAATCAACCAACCGATCAATCAATCAATCAATCAATCAATCAATCAAGCAAGCAAGCAAGCAAGCAAGCAAGCAATCAGTCGAATGCAATCAACCAACCAATCAATCAATCAAACAAATCAACCAACTCGTCCGGGTGGCAGGGTGCCTCGAGTGTTTAACCGACCGTGCCTTGTGTCGCAGCAGGACCAAGAAATGGACGACCTCATGGAAATGTAGGGCTTAGCCGGTGGGTTTGGTCAAATACTGCCCACGAAAAAGAATGGACACCAACTCCATCAGGGAGGATGGAATGTGTCGAATGTGGTTGCTTTGGTCTAATGAACTTCAAATCCGGTAGACAGCCCAAACAGGATATGTATCATTATGTACGAGTATCATCTGAACGTAAATCAGCCTTTTCCCCAAGAGAGGTGAATCGTCTGAGTTGCATCCCGCTCAGTGAATTTATCTATTTTGCCGCGGCTGTTGGCTACAACATGCTACAATGATAAACAAGTCACCATCAGGAACCGAACTATATGAGCTGTCATCCAGTAATCTGCAGAATGGAATTGATCTTTTAAGGCCACCACTGGCACGTTCAAGAGCTTGGACTCCTCCGCTGCTTCGAAGGCCTCCAAAGCCTCACATGGTGGATGCAAGTGGCCCAAGTGTCAGCCAAAGTTGACTGTTTCCAGAGCCTGATCTTCAGCACTCTTTCTATTTATCTTTTTCTTTCTCTTTTCTTCTCTCTCTCTCTCTCTCTCTTTCTCTCTCTTTCTCTCTCTCTCTCTCTTTCTCTCTCTCTCTCTCTCTCTCTCTCTTTCTCTCTGCAGATTCATCTTTGCAAACCCGATTGATCTCAACCATGTGTGAGCCTTCGACATTTACCGATTCTCTGCATTGTCACAGGAAACATACATTTTGGTTCGCGTAGGCATGGAGAAGACCAAATGCAGAAGGCAGAAGGCCAGGTAATGGGTGAGCGGAACCAGTTGAAATCATGCCTGCAATGCCCCAACATCAGACCAAAAGACTGGGGGCTCTCAAGAAAACAAGTCCTTGTGATCTCACCTGACACACGCCAGCAACTCTTACAATGCTGATGTCGCCGGTCCCTGTTGCGAAAACAAAAATGCACGCACTCAAGCCGCTAGGCCTCTTGGTAGCCAGGATGGTCCTGGGGCAGAAGGTGTCGCGAAATGCCGGGTTGACCCCTCTCCAAGTTGTTGCAAATCCTCAGCTTTGCTTCTGCCTAAAAATCTAGAAACCAAATCATTAGTGCGAGCGCTATTCTGCGTCCTGGCAGTAGTAGCTTACTTGTAGCTCCCAACTACCTAGCTTCTACTAGCTACCTACCTCTAGCTACCTACCTCACCTCTTCTACCAGCCTACCCCCCCAAAAAAAAGACAACTTGGCGTCTCTTCACAACATGTTTCAAGCTCGGGCTCCTCATTGGGTACAGTAGGTAGGTAGAGGCTTTGTGCAGCGCCCATGTGGCACCAGGCACCGTAGAAGAAGCCTAAAGCTCCTGCGCTCACCATGGAATAGCTTCAGGGCTGCATGAATGGATGAAGACCCAACTGACTCGACTTAGAAAGTATCAATTCTAGTCCCACTGTAATTTATTAAGAGTAGAGTATACCCACATGCAAGGCACTAAATTCCATCGGACAACTCCCTCAACAGCTTGTGTCAAGCGTGAAGGCCAGATAGGGCCAAAGCAAGGCAGCATACTCCTTGCTCCTAGTAGTGATGCCCTTTGTTCCTAGTAGCTTGTTGTTCCTAGTGTTCGTGACAGTGTTCAATACAATCAACCCCTAGATGATGTAGTCTTGCTAGGAGAGTTCAGCACACCAATAGAGTTCTTTGAGTACATGTGAAACAGAAACATATATATATAGCATAAAGTGGTGTTTCTAGGAGTCTTGCGACATTGCAACCCGCAGCAAAACAGCAGCCATACATACTTTTGAATAAGCCCAACTTTTCTTGGGGTGCTCAAAATAACGACCAGATACTCTATCTGCGAACTTCCACAAAATTCCTTTTGCAGCCTCCTTTTCAAACAATCCTTTCGAAACAAGGAAAGCAACTCTGGCAATGTCCCAATTCTTCCTGCCAAATGCAGTAGCGTTTGCATGGACAGATGCGGCTCCAAGAGGGCCAACCCTTGCAATCCCACTCCAAAGGCGCTACAAAGGCCTCAAAGCCAAAGCCGCCAAAGCCACTGTTTCTGAGCACTTGGAAACAAACGCCCAAATGGAACTGTTGTGAGCTGGTGCTTAAGGCTCCAGGCTGGAAACCTGGAGGTCGGCTAACATCCAAGCGAGTGAAGTGCGATTAGTCTGTTCAGTCTTTGTGAAACAAAGGCAATGTGCATTCTCATGCTCTTGCAGCAATTGCGTGTTGCGCACAAAAGCAGTTGCATTCATATTTGACAATATAAGATTCAAGTCAAACTTGCACCAACCGCGTCCAAGAGTTTGGCAGAAAATCACTGAAATAGCTGTGGTCATCTACCCATCGTTCTCAGTTCAAGAACGGAAAACCCTAAAGAACACCTGATTGCCGAGACCCACAGCAGTGTCGCTCGGAGAGCTGAGACTGAATTCTCTTAGCATACTGGCCAGCAGCTAGCCCACCAATGAAACAAGATAAACATGAGCCCGACTCTGGCTATGTACAAGCCCTCAGATGTGCGTGAAAGATATTCTCACGCATATGCAACCCAGTGGCCATAGAAGGTGAAGCTTTCCCCAGCGTCGCCATGCTGCCCTAACATGTGCTTGATCAGTCGAGCAAAAGACTTGCTCCAAATATGGTTCTCACTCTCAGTCAACGAGGTAAAATCAAGGTTAACATAGAAAGAAATACTTACATATATATATATATACAGTTTATATACCACAAATAAACCATCTGTTCTGGGTCAGTTCAAGACCCAAACCTATGGTCATAATTACTGATTTCTGCACTGAATGGCCTTATGGCAGGACTCCAGGACCTCAAATAGTTGCAAACCCTGGAAAATTGAATCAGCGACCAAAACTTCAGGCCAGCCGCAGGCAAGTGTTGTACGCACGGTTCCACCACAGCACAGGACTTTTATATATAAATATGTAAGGGACGCACCAGCACTTGTTTGCATATTATCTGTATCCTTTATCACCTGCTCACTGAATGACCAAACTGACAAGATCTACAGTAAAATCATTTAAAGCACAGAACACCGGTTGCTTCAGAACACCCTTTCGACCCACGAGACAAGTGAACCTCCCGGCAGCTGTGGTAGTGCCAGCTCTGAATGCAGCTGCACCGTGGCCGCCAAAAGCATGGCAGCCGAGCCGAAGCCCAGCCTACGTAGCAACAGCAGAGATAGATGCTAGGAGGTTGGAGGCCATTGCTTTTACTTTTAGTTTTAATAGCAGAGATAGACTCCAGTGGAAAGTCGCGACGGAAAATGACAGCAAACCCTTGTCTCCGCAGGTGACACACCCAGAAAAGAACATGCAGCGGCAGCCTTGAGTGAACCCTTCAAAGGATATGAAAATGCTGGTCCTTGATAGAGTTGGATCAAGTCACCTCCATTCTTTCGGTCACAACGATATCAAGTGCAAGAATCCTTGAGCTGGTGTGGTGGTGTGTATCTATCCATCACTCGGTGTTCTGAGATTTGAGGCCGACACCATGTGTTCAAGCAAAACACAAACAAGGAACACGCGACACGCGTCCACCAAAAATTGTTTCTGCCTTGCAATGAATCTCCCAAACCTTATGTGTTGGCTTGTGGACTGTCTCTTCAAACATCCCCTGAGGCTGGAATACAGAAATATAATATATAATATATAATATATCATATATAATATATATATATATGTTATGTACATATATAAACATAAAACAGTATAAACGGACCGTAACGGACCAGTGAGCTCGGAGATTGTCTGAATCTTCAGCGGTGGAAGGCAGCCCAGTCAAAAACTCTTACGTGAAACAAAGGTCCAAGCATGTCTCAATCACCTCTGTCTACCAGCTTGACCTCAGCAACATCTTTGGGGATTTGGAGGCCGACCCAGCTAGACTTCGTTCCAGGCCTGTAGAGCATCTTCGCCCCATTGGGGCCCACCGCGAGCTCAGAAATCTGGGGGAAGCGAACCTGAATGCGCTGCTATGTGGCAGATCTCTTCGAATCCGTTTTCAAGCAAGTGAAACTGTTCTAAGGCAACCCTGCAATCATGGTGACCTACGTTCCAAGGCTTTACCTGTGTTGGCCATCAATCATATCAGCCAAGCAGTCTCGAGGCGTTCCTCTGTTGGGGCATGGACACTTCGAGAGCAAAAAGAAGTCTCCCCAACCAAGTTGGCACTGACAAAAGTTATCCGGACGAAACCCCAACGAAGGCGGTGCCTCTGGGTCCTGCAAGGACTCGTGCATCGCATAGCATCCAGCCACCTGAGTGTTACCAACCAAAAAGGTGTGAGGCAAGTTGGAATTCTTGGGCATGAGAAACTGAATCACAAAGTGCAATAAATGAGAACCGAGCATCCCCAGCAAAGCTACGCTATCTTGCTTGCAAAGCGATATGAAACCGACAACTTCGTGCGAAGGTGTCAGCAGCCCCGCCAAACCGAGGCCAAGCACTGTTCCCACAATCCAGAAGAAAGAGCCGCAAACCGCCTGAGCAATGAGAGGGCAACTTGAATATATCAAAAGAAGTAGCAAAAGGCAAAGGTGAGAAATTGTCCTCAAGTCCGGACCATTATTTACAAGTGTTACCTACAGCCTACAGTCGGTCTCAAGATTCCCCCATTGCCACCCACCCCACCACCTGAAAACGCACGAACAACCTGCCCTGTTCGCTCAGAACCCCTGCAAGCATCGGCAACAGAGCGATGGCCATCCCAGGCGCCCGCTCGGCGCCCCGCAGCTGCCGGATCCTCAGGCAGCTCCGCGTGCAGAGCCGCTCCAGTGTGTTGTTGCTATGTTTAGACATCCTGCGTAAAGGTTTTCTGCCGCGGAGAGCTTGGGAAGATTTGAACATTGATCAAGAGCTTGGGAGTCTGTGAACATGTGAGAATTATTTGTCTGATGCAACGATGAAAGATTTCTGAAGCCGAATGTCTGGATCTGGTGGGTTGCTCAAAGTATACAGAAACCAGTGACCAGCACGGAACAGTCGGGTCTGAGATGGGGCTACAGTAGGGGTAGCAGATTGATGCCCTTGGGGCTCAGGGTTGGGTGGGTTTCTTTGTCTTCAAGTAGTTGGCCTCCACGCTACAATCAAAAGACTAGACCTGATCAGAGTCTGAAAGCCCTCTGAAACAGTTTGACCTATATGGACTCGCAAGAGGTGCATCTGATTCCACCAATTCCTCTGCTAATGTTCCACCAAACACTGCCACCACCACGTAGGATCCAAGTAGGGAAACTCCTGCAGGCCAGGCACCGTCGTACAGAGAGCTCAGTGCCGAGGAGCACCTCTCAACAACACGAGTTTTTCCAGGTCACACCTACTGGTTGGAACAATCCCTCCTCACTTCTGAATGCACCTCACGATTTGGCAGCGTCGGTTTGTTCGACCGTCGTTTCGACCAGGCACCAAGCCAGTCGCCAGCAGCCCGGCTCCGGTCAGCCATGGCCACGGGCCTAAAGGGCCCCAGCGACGACTCTCGGCCTGGTGAGGCAACACTAGGGTGGTATTGGTGATAAGATGTGATAACAAGTCGATGAGACTGAGACGCAGTCAGGAAAGGTGAGATAGAGCTTGGATTTGAGCACAGGATAGAGGTAATTCGTAGGTCAGGCGGTAAAAAGCCGCTCTGCCAGTACTGCTCAGTGCACCACAAATGTTCCAACGAGATGGATGTGATTCAAAGAATGCCTGATTCAGGACAAAACCACTTTCATCCTAAATTCAGGCTAACGTTGGTTCGGTTCAGATGGGATGCACTACACTATAAATACAGTATAAACGTACGGTGAAGTTGTCTTCAACCATCCATGCATGACCATCCATGTCTGAAACCCAGGGACGTCAACCAGTGTCGAAAAGGAAGGACTCTCTGTGATCAAAGAGATCAAAAAGGATCTTCCAGTCTTGAAGAAGCTTGTTCACTGGAAGAATGGCACCGCCTTGAATGGTGCTTAAGCCAAGCTGGGTCCATGTACCTCTACTCGCCAACCACGGCACCTACATGTCATTTGGATTCATTTGGGTGTCTTTCTTTGTTATGATGCTTATCAATACTTGCCCAAGCTGTCAGGAGTTCCAAGCTGAGCTTTCAGAAAAACGGAATAAGACCTGCAAAGCGATCCTCATTCCACAACCCCAGTCATTTTGTGCCTCTATCCCACCACACCCACTGGGTATCACCTTGAATCTACGATCCAACGGCCCGGAAAACCACCGCTGCAGCAGCCTCTGTACAGACCCTCAAGTTGGCCCCACGCACAGTGAACGTCTTCTTCTGCACCTCAGAAGGTGAGACCAAACATGACCAAACAGTGCATCGCGCAATCCCACATGAAGCCAGCCGCAATCTGTATGTGTCAGACTAGCTTATCAGCTAGTAGTGAGAGCTGGAGCTGTGCCGGCCTGCACCAACCACTTGCTCTTCAGCACTCGCCGCTGCAGCAAGCCCAAGGAACTATTGAGCCTTTGCAAAAACACAGCTGGTGTTCAGTAGGCTCAAGCAAGGCTACATCATTCTCACCCAAGGTCGCTGCAGCTGTCATATAGAGCCCTCCACAGGCTGCTGGAAGTGCTTAGCCGCGAAAACACAAAATTGACAGGCATTCCATCCTATGCAGCTCAGCATTTTTGCATTTGGTTACGGCCAAGGTGTTTGAATCCGCTCAGACTACTGTGACACCCACAATCCTAGAGGTCATTGCAACGCAGTGACACAATGCTCTTGTGTCTTGAGCATGTTAGCGATGTGGTTCTACATGTAAGCCTTTGAGAAAACACTATCAGTCCCAGTGGAACTCCGTTCCAACTCCGACAATTGCTGCACAACTCATCAACTCATCCATCTAAGTAGCAACTGGGCTTTATTCCCAGAGGGAAAAGGGGGTGCCAAATTTGAAGGTATGTTTTGTAGGGAGGGAACCCGTCTCCTCCCTCACATCATTGGCGTGATATTTCCCAACAGTGGCTAAACAGGAACAACTATGCGAAGTTTTCAGGGAGGACGCGACTAGGGGCTCCTGGCCTTACTACTAGGAGCAAGGACGCTACTACTGAGCGGTTGCGATGACACCCTTCCCTGTGCTTGCTATGAACGTGCCACAGGTGCGGAAGTTCCCGCAAATGTTGTAGATCCCATGGCGGTAGTACCATAGAAAGGTCTACGTCTAAGGGTCCAACGAAAAAGAAATTAAACTAACTATATAAATGTTTGGAACTGAATGGATGTTTGGGTACATCACTTATCGGCTCATTTGAGCACGAGAATAAGCGTTCTTACATTTCCCTAAGGTTCAATCTACCGGCCTCAGACTTAAAGCAAAACTGGTGTGGTCGCACCAACTCTCAGCCCAAGTGGCGTGCTTGCAAATCTGGCTTCAAAATAACTTACAGAAAGTACAAACAGCCTTGGCGGTTTGAGCCTAAGCCATTTTGCTGGAAATAGTCACTCCGGACTCCCTTCATTCATCTCCAACAAGGAGCTTTTGTAGCTCCTCTCCGGCCGAGCCGTCGTGGAGCCCCACCAAACGCACCTCCAAACAAATTGCACAAGGTGATTGGATTCAAAAGGTGGGTTGCTTTGTACATGGAAATGGCCACCGAACCAAAGACTGTAACGGCCCTACATTACTGGCATTTGGATTTGGGGCAGTTCCTATCAGCTTGGGAAGCTTTGCTGCTTTTAATCTGCGACAATGATTCCATAAACCAGTTTGGAAACGTTCTACATGTAATTTGCCTCGAAAATATGTTTTCGTGCTGACGCTGACTATTCAGCAGTCACATGCAGTTTTCAGAACACCTTGATCTATGACATGTCTTCCGACGAATGACAGCACCTGGTCACCCGGCGCCCACTGTGAGTCATCCACCTGCAAATCTTCATGAGAAGTCTTCATAGGGGTGGTGGGCAACAAGGACTGGCACGACTGGCAACTGCAAATTCTCGGATGGTCAGGTTTGTCGCCTCCTCGACCTGCAAATTCTCAGGCTTCAACCGCAGCAGGCGATTGCCCAGCGACACCTGGCAGGAGGACGAGCTTCAGGAGCCACCAAAGGCTCTTTATGTCTCCGTTGTCGGCATGTTGTTGCTTCTGTTTCTCAGTTTTGGGTCAGAAGCTCCGCAATTTGTTGAGATGCTTGGGTTCTTTATGGTTCTTTGATCTGCCCCCCGTCCCAAGACGCCTAACCTCTTGCAACCAATGCCCAAAACTCTCAACGTGCAGCATGTGCCTCCCAACGCCCCGAGTCATTGGGCCGCTGAGTGACCTTCGCCCGCTGTCCATTCAGCTCTTGGCCTGCCTGGCTCGGCAGGAATCAAGGTAAATGAAGCGTCCTAGTAGTAGCGTCCTTGCTCCTAGTAGCGATACCAGGAGCCCCTAGTAGCGTCCTTGCTTCTAGTAGTAAGGCCAGGAGCCGCTAGTAGCGTGCTTGTTCCTAGCCAAGCTAACGGACTGTGCCATTCGCAACGTTTCCGATGACCCTGACCGTCCCATCACCAAACCCGCCCCATCGTGTCGCCGCTGGGCACTGTGTCGCCTCCGAGGTCAAGCCATGCACCACGACAGCATCGCCCACTTCCATGAGCACTGTTTCAAAGATTTTGTGGGTCGGGGGTGGTATCTACTGTGTAGCAATAGAGGTTGTAGACTTAGATGTTGCTCTGAAATGCACGGTCATGCAACTTATGATATAAATCCTGGATTCCCCGGTTCGTGGTGGATGAACTGTGAACCAATATCAGGACCTGTTGGAACCTGATGCAACATATTGTCTATCAAATTTGCTATTCCACTCATGAGTTTGCAAATGTCCACTTGCTCATGTTGCTGTCACAGACTTGGAGGACCTCGTGTTGTTCAGAAACAAAAACCTTCAAATGATTCAAATGATGATGTTGTCTAATCTCAAGATTATCATGTAGACGGAGGATATGCCCCCCTTGAAGAGTCAGCAGCTCCGACAAAGCAAGGGTGCGATGTTGACTCAAAAGAAAAGTCTTACCTGCATGGATGATGAAAAATGAGATCCACTGAGAAACTGGAAACCTTCATCCACTGCATATATGGCGCTCGGCACACTAGGCTTCATGCCATGAGGCGGCACTGAGCGCATTGACGTGGATCACGTTTGGTCGAAGAGTGCTCTTCGCTCCGAGCACCGGGCGAGTTCGTCTCGTCGTTGTGCGCCCTCGGGCGAGGGTGAAAAACGCTCAGAGCACATTGCCTAGTAACAAGAAGCTAGTAGTAACAAGTGCCACGCTAGTAGTAACAAGTGCCTTACTAGTAGTAACAAGAAGCTGTATGCAAATTGCCTTGTTGGTAAAGCACTTTCCAAACTTGGCTCCCCAGTCGCAGCTTCCTGCAGCACATGAGTGCAAGCAAAGAAGCTTCTCCACATACTAGGGTGGGTTGTTTGGACATTCGGATGCACATGGCTCTCACAAGTACAGTGTAATCATCTCAATTTTGTGGCAAGTGTTTGCAAACTTGACTTGCGCTAGATGAGTCACGAGAGCAAAGTGGAAGATGCAAAAGCTCGCCTTGTCTGCCTTCTTTGCTGTTAGAAGCAAGGCACCAGGGGCATCCCTCCTGCATCTCCAAACTGTCGAAATCATGAGCACCCAACCATCAGATTGAGCAAAACAGCAGCAACCGAGGTAACTGAGCTCATGACAATTATGTATTCTATATTACATATATATACATACCCTCCTGCCTGTGGCGCACAGGATGCCTCCGAGACCTGTCGAGATGAGAAGGCAAGTTCCAGCAGGCTCTGATTGAATGAGAAAGGAAGCAAAAGAACACAAAGACTGGATACACATCACATGTTATCTTCGCCTCTGGCGTCGAACCACTTTGGGAAGTTTACACGACATGACCAGAACGAATTCCCTGGCCACCTAGCAAGCGGCAGCTCAATTGTGGCACCAAGGCCAGCAAGAGCCAAAGACATGCTGCGACACTGACAACCGAGTCGAAAGCCCAGTGCAACATAGGAAAGACTGTAAGCTTGGGGAAGCGCGGCACAAGGAAGGTCACTACGCCAGTGGTCTGCGGCAGCTGGGTAACAATGGAGCCGTAGGGATTGATGGCTCCAGTAAAGCCATTGTAGGTACATTTCACCAATGTCTGACCGTTCTCCACAGCCGCATACTGATGGCCATGAAGGTGCTGACGGCCTATGTTGCCCCAAGTTGCGCTACTTTCCAGAAGCACATCGGCCGTACTCAAGGAGCGTGTGAGCGAAGGGAAGTCCGTGTCAAAGCAAATCGTCCCCGTCACAGAGATCTCTGCTGCACCTACTGCACCCACAGTGACGGATGCTACTGAAGGTGGCTGTATGCCAGGCAGCAGTCCGCTTTCGAGGACTGGCACGGGATGGTTCTTCGCATAGCTCATCACAGACCCGTTTCTAGTGACAAGGTGATACCATGACCTTTTGTTCTCAAAGAAGGACAGAACCGCCAGAGCTTCAACCCTTGTCTTGTCGTAGTGCTCACGTAACAGTTCCTGATAGCGCGGCACTGGAGGGCCATTGCGCACATCAGTCCCTTGCTCAGTGTGCATGATGATGGTGTCACCAGCATCTAAGCGTTCTTTGGTGGCGTTGTACACATCTGCCATGTAACTAAGACAACTAACTCGATGGTATTCTGATGGTTCTCCTCCTGGCGGTATGAAAGTCATACCCATGAACACGGTTGGGGCATAGAATCGAACTCCTCCGGCAAGAAGAATGACGAACAAGGTGGCAAGAGAAGCCCGGAATCCTCCTGACTGCATTGCCGCGCACGTTTAAAATTCATTTGACATAGTCTAGTCTAGAATCTGAAAGTTTACATATGTATACTGTACATTCTTTGTTGATATTATATCGTTAAATATATCATATATTATATATACATATCGATATTTAGATATATAATTCAACGCACCGACCTGGCCGCATGGAGGTGGCAATTGTGGTCACCTGATACATTGACGTTCCCACCAAAAGCGGCCACATGACAGCAAGAAGCTGTTTACTGCGTCGATTGTTGGAGGGAGGGTAGGTGCCACAGCAAGATGTTCTTGAAGTTCAGAGCCGCAAACCGGCTCCGTGTTACGTGTGGCCTCCAGCTGCATTTTTTGGGGGGGTGTTTTCTTCAAGACATGGCAAGACTTGCTGAGGGTCAGGTGAGTTTTTGCATGCCACCTAAATTGGAGAGCATGTGTCATGTGTTTTGTTGTCAGAATGTCGGATGGACGCGTTGTGGGTTCAAGTTTGATCTCGTGCCAGACAAGCCCCAAAGCTTTGGGGATCATTTCGCCCTCAAGGTGCTCAACACTTACAGCCTGCAGAGATCTGCAGGGTTACAATTTGAACATTGGTTTTCCAGCCTTCCCAATAAAAGCACATGTCAAAAAGAAAATGTGTATGTAAGACTTACTCGTGCCTGGCCCACCGTGCAGGGAAACACAAGGGTTGCAATCAGAAGGCCCTTCAACTAGGTCTCGAAACGAGCTTCCTTGTGGATCTGGACGCAAAAAGTTTAAACGAAGGACAATTGTTCGAGGTTGGATAAGCCGACTCAGGTGGAAACCACTTCACCACTTCTCGACCCCTTGTTTGATGCTGGATGTAGGGCCGTCTCTGTTCCAAACATGTTTTTTCTCCCATGGTTTGTTGAATTTTGAGCCGTCTCAACGCCCAAGTATATTGAATGTTGGTTCTTTCTGCTCCTAAGAACCCCTGCCAGTCTCCACCCATTTTTTCTTTCCAGGGTCGGTGGAGCGGCAGCCCTTTGATATTTTGCATAATTCAAATTGAATACTATTTGCTCTGCTGTTCCATAACCAGATGGCGCTCCTGTGGCCTTGGAGTTGGCGCAGCGATGTGCTCCAGCCGCTGCTAGCCAGCTGAGAATGAAGGTGACACCGCTGCGTCCGAACCACGCACTGCATTGTGTCAGCAACAGGCTTTGTCCAGCCAAATCGTAGGCCGGGCTTGCAATGGAACCGATGGGGAGGAAGAAGAAAGACAGGACCCACAAAGCAGTATTTATACATGGGAACGCCAGTGTCACACTCCAAAGCTCTGGATGTCTTTGCGTGAGCCAGCGGTGTGCCAAATATGCAATAGTCAAAGGTATCTGCAAGGCCACACAAATCGCCAGGGCCGAGACTTGCAAATACCCCCATGTGGACAGCCCCAGCATGATGCCTACAGGCACCAAGCACAAAAGGAACGCCCAAAGCTGCTCAAGCCACTCTGCCAGAAGGCAGCAACACAGCATGGATATGGTTGACATGCCCGGGATTGCCTCCAAGTTGGTGAACAATTTGGTCACTAGCGCCACGAGGAAAACTCCCACCAACAGCTCGTTGCTAGGCCTTGCTCCCTCTGCCACAGTGCTCTTACCACCATCTTCAGGCAACAGCTTTTGGCCGGCCTCAATCTCCGCATCTGGAGGTGCCATCGCACCACTGGGTTCCTGACAACTGACGAGCCAGTGGCTGCGGTGAGAGTTTCGTTGGGGCAATGAATACATTTCTGTTGCCACTTCAGCTGCTGGAGTCTCATTCGAACGTGGACTTCAATGGCTTTCACCACCTCAACTGCCAAGAGATGCTGAGAGTAATTGGGCTTGGCTCAAAACAAGCAGGTCTTCACAAACAGGACCCATGACTGTGGTGGACTGGCGTGCGAAAAAACTGCAACAGGGTTACTGTGGTGCACCATCCAACCCTGAGTTTGCCTTTGGAACTTCACCTCACAGCCTTTTGATGCCAAAAGCGTAAAAACACCACGCCTTTGCGGTTTCGTTATAATTCTCCTGCTCAAAGGAGGATCCTTAGCACTCAAGTGCACCATGCAATCGCCCGACACAAGTCCTTTGATTCCATTCCATTTCCTCGCAGTGCACTATGAATCCTTGAATTAGTTGCAACATGTTGGGTCAACAGGGGGGGTTAGCCCAGAAAGCAGACCTTCCCGACGACCCAACATGGTTTTTGGGGGGATGGGGACAGTTTCGTTCCTGTTTCTACTCGCGTAACTCAGTACTTGCGCTGCACTTTCGGCTTCGTGACTCGACAGCTTGGAGGACATGGCAGGCTCCACGTTTGAGGTTTGTTTGTGTTTGTCGCAATTGAGGGATCTTTTCGCGGCAGACCCCTTTTTGGATGCCCTCATTGATGTTTGCTCCCGTAGGTTTCATTGTTAACCGGTCGATCACCCTTACGTTTTGATCATCTCGTCGATGTTCAGTTGGTCTTGTTCGATGTTTGGAATTCTCACGTTCATCGAAACTACGTCTTTCAAGACGTTTATGGTTTATGGCAAATCACAGATGTTGCACAAAACAGACAGAGACTTGACAGCAGACCTTGTCTTATTTGAGTGTCTTGAAAATCCACTCGAGTCATCCATCGTCTTAGAGCTCATGAACTCCAAGACGATAAGTTGAGTGGCCCGAAAGGCAAAAAAGACCTACAAAACGCAGGGCTTTCTAGCCTTGCGCATGTTGCTTTCCGGGCTAACCCCCTCCGTTTCCCCAACATGTTGCAACGGTCTCACCTGGGGATTCTTGTGATCACCGGGGTTTCACGTGATCCTTTTCTACACTCTTCGATGAATAGACTTCCAGCCCCCCACATGCAAGTCAAGGGATTGTGGGAGAGGAGATCGCCGTGGGCCGTGAGTCGTCGCTTTCTAAACGCAGCACCAGGAGCCTTGAACACTGGAGACAAGTCTGGACTCCGCGTGTGTCTAGGCCCTCGCAGATTGGAGACGGGCTGGGCCGGATGCGCCAAAACCATTCGGGGTGCTTCCCCTAAAAAGAAAAAACAAGGTGAACAAGGTATACATTAAACTAACAAACAAAAAGTACCTGGACTGTCCAGGAAGATAGACAGAGAGCGGTATATAGGACATAGGTAATCATTAATCACCATGTTCACCACGCAAGTAGCAGTTCATTACAGACAGAATCACACATCACGTTCAGCGTTCTTCGTGTGATAGTTGCCTTCCCACTCGCCCCAGAATTCACCCATTGGTGGCCCACAAATTCGAGACTCAAAGCTACCGGGACCCAGCAAGCCTTGAGACGTCTTTGGCTTCGCACGTTCCAACTCAAACATAAACTGTGTTATTCTACCGCACACTTGTCACTTGAATCAGCAGACTACAATTCATCTATGAGCTTCTTCTTCTTCTTCTTCTTCTTCTTCTTCTTCTTCTTCTGTTATTGCCACCCACACCAGTTGTACGTGTGACATCACAAACATTGCCATTATGTATCGCAGTTTGGACCGCTGCCTGCGTCTTGGGATGCCTTGGCTGCTGCCGCCACAGCAGTCGAGACCTGTGGAAATGGCATGAAATGGCCAAGATGGGCGAACGGATATGACAGGCCTGGGATGTTGGCGGTCCCTGTAGTTAACTCTTTCGTCAACTGACACTCTGACACTCCCCACAACCCAGGGCATTGGTTGGGGTTCAGGTTGGGTTGGCTTGGACGAAGTCCGACACCAACTTAGGTTGAAGATCCCGTTCCAGAAAAATCGGTCCCAGATCCCGGATCCAAGGATTTGTGGCATTGCACGGTCAAATATGACCATGTTCCTGTCCATCTCAAATAGTATATTTATATAATTAATATATATATATATATACTACAGCCTCACTTAACATGTCACATCAATATCATATCTGTTCCTTTAAAACCTAAACTCGTGGTGTGACACCACCTGAATCCCATGGAGTGCACAGGACCTGTGTGCTCGTTGTAGACTCCACCGAAGACTCGCCCGAGTCCAGCAAGTCACTTTTCCTGTCAGGCCACCTTGCAACAATCCTCAGGACAAAGCCTGGTATTCTCTCACCAAAATCGTCGAGATTAAATCCAGTTCTACAAGTGTGTAGGCCGCACCAGCGACCGAGGTGAGGCTCAAGAAAATGGAGAGCAGGAAAGAGATCACTGCGAACTCACTGGACTTGAGAAAAGGGAACGCATAAAGTTGAAGCAAGAGCTGCAATGGTGCCTCTACAGACAACTCCGAAAGCATCAGAAGCTCCAAGTCGTCCGTGGCCTCGCCTCGATGCATCGATTCCATGGAAGCGGTCAGGAATCCTTTGGCAGCTCCACGCCTGATCTGCTGCCGAAGGGACATCAAGAAAATGCCAACTGATGCCAAAGCAAAGAAGAAGTTGCCGGTGAGGATGTACTGAATGACCCCATTCACATCTGACACTACATCCACGAAGAAAGGCAGAAGGGTCGACACAAAGAAGACAACTTTACCCCTGGTGGTGCTGCCCTCCTGTGGCTCGTCAGAGGTACTCAATCTCAATTCCCTTTCTGGCCCATCTCTCACTTCCTCTTGCTTCATCACCTGAGCGGCTGAGCGGCAACTTTTGAAGCGAATGGTCCCAGCCCGTCCCTGGGCTGTCGAGAGATCTCGTTTACATTTCTGCCAAACGTTTCAACTCCATCTCTCTCGGGACAGGAGAGGGAAGAGAGGAAAGAAGAGCCAGGAGAGAAAAGAGAGAGCAAGCGAGCGAAGGTCACCTGAAAAGGCCAAGAGTAGCAACGAAACACATCTTTCGAAGACCATGTTCCAACCAAGCTACAGCCATAAAAACGATCAAGTTTGCAGCACATCTACTCAGGCATCTCTTTTATAAGTATATAAGTGGGGCCTATCGCATTCCCAAGCTTCCCAAGCGATTTCTCGATTTCCGACATCAATTCGGGCATCTGGTCTATGCTACAAGCCAATTACTCCAGCATAGACCCCAGATAGCAAAAGCATGCAAAAGGTTTTTCTGGGCCGCGCCCTTCATTGGCAGCAGCTCCAATTTTTAGACGCAATACAGCGTGGCGTGTCTCCACTACGCGCACAGCCAGCGCCAGCACCCGGCACCAGCACCCAATCTGCACCACGCACACAACGAGCACCACCAGCACCGGCGCCCGGCACCAGCACCAGCAACCTGTCTCCACCACGTGCACAGCCAGCTCACAGCACCAGCACCGGCACCCGGCACCAGCACCAGCAACCTGTCCCCACCTCACGCGCAGCCAGCTCGCAGGACCAGCGCCAGCGCCGGCAGCACCAGCACCAGCACCTGTCTCCACCACGTGCACAGCCAGCTCACAGCACCCGCGTCGGCGCCCGGCACCCAGCACCAGCACCAGCAACCAGTCTCCACCACGTGCACAGCCAGCTCCCGGCACCCAGCACCAGCAACCTGTTTCCACCACGTGTACAACAGCACCAGCACCGGCCCCAGCACCAGCACCAGCACCCAGCACCAGCACTATCAACCTGTCCCCACCACGCGCACAGCCAGCTCACAGCACCAGCACCAGCGGCACCCAGCACCCAGCACCAGCACCAGCAACCTGTCTCCACCACGTGCACAGCCAGCTCACAGCACCAGCACCAGCACCCGGCACCACCAGCACCAGCACCGGCACCCGGCGCCCAGCACCAGCAACCTGTCTCCACCACACGCGCAGCTCACAGCACCAGCGTGCACAGCCAGCTCACAGCACCAGCACCGGCACCCGGCACCAGCACCAGCAACTCATTGTTATTTGACGTAAGAACCCCATAGCTTCGCTATCTGGGGAAATATAGGGATCTCCAAATAAAAAGAAAGGGGAACGGAGGAACATCCTTGAAAACAGTCTGGAAAACCGGAGCCCTATCTAAGCCTATCTACCTTATGCCCTTTGTCAATCACCGTGGCCTGATTGCAGCAGCAGCACGAGAGCAGCTCCAACAGTGTGGCAATCGCCACCGCCGCCATGGGGCCAAGGAGCAGCAGAAAGATCGAAACTGTCCACAGCCACTCTGGCAGCTGATTGAGGAAACAAGTCCCCGCGTAGAGATTGCAGAAGCCATTCCAAATAAAGGACTGCTCCTCACTAAGTTCCACCACCGAACGACTGGGAAGTTCCATGAGGCTTGACCACTTGACCAGTTTTCGAGATTTCAAGCTTGACGAGCGCCAACGGTCTTTTCATGCTTTTTCTAGGGCCCCAAAAAGTCCTAAACACCAACCACCACGTGTCTAACCACTAGCTACCCATGGATAATGTGTAATGATGTTTAAAATGCCCAAAGCAGGGGAAACAATCGGGACCCCCCGCTCCTCCAGGCAGAGGTCGTAATCGTGGTAGTCCACCTCACAACGGGCCTCTTCGGCCCACCAGGCGGTCTTCAGCCAGGCTGGGAGGCGTTCGCAAGAGGCGTCGGGGCGACACTATGCTGGGGGGATCATTACCCTCCACCACTGTCACCAACGCCACCACTACCAGGACCCTCAATGCCAGGCTGCCAAGCCGGAAGCAGCGCACCCTTGTTGCGCGAACCCCATGAGGTGCGAGCCAGAGTAGCGGAGCTTCGGCGAGCTGCCATGGCGTGAGGTCTGAGACTTGGGTGACCATGGCAAAGAGGAGCGCCAGGTACACCGGAATTATGTAGGCATTGGTGAACCAAGCAAGCAGAAGCACCGAGGTGTGAGAGTAGATGTCCACCATACTGTGCAAGAAGACGATCCACGCACGGCAGCCTCCAAGCTGCTCCGAAACTGCATCGCTCCTACGGGCCTTGATTTCAAGGATGCCAGCCATCACATTGGATGTCTGATCAACCTCAAACCTCTAAGTCTTCGAGCCTTGCACGGTCCACCACCTGCAATTCGGATCAATTCGGCCCAACATGCTGAACTCCCAGGTCCACTTCTCCAAGGCACCTCTTCACCAATCTAGGCTGGCGGCTCCCTGGCCGCCACTTGGCGCTGCTCTCCTGGCCATGGGCCGCAGCCCTGGAATCCAATGGATTGGTGTGGAACCCATCCCTCACATTGAGAATTAGTGGTCAAACTGGCCAGTGAATAGCTGCACACGTACCCGTACTTAGCAAATATCAAGAGGCGTGTGCAAACACGGAACTAAACTAAGTGCCATGTGTCGTCAAACATCTCGTTATTGACGGCTCATTGGAAGTGGAAAAAAGAAAAGGTGCAAACCGAAACTGGTTTGGCTTGCTGGATATTGTGGGACTATTTCACAATTGATCTTTGCGATGAGGACAAACCTTTACCAAGTGGACCATAGGGATTGCTGGTTTCAATCCTCACCCCCAGTCCTCGGACTTTTTTCACGCTCTCAAGAGCTTGACACCCTGGTCACGATCAGCTCTTGCTGGGAAAATGCAGGTTGCTGGGAAGATGGATTTCTTTACAGGTCCCAAGTCTCAGCAGTTACAGGTTCCATATGTTCTTGGCTCTGCAACGGAAAAAGAGCTGTTGAATACAATTCCCAAAGTCGGTGGCACCACAATTCTACATGGCCAAAACATATCACCCAGGCTGGTAAGTTCAGCATCCCACCTGCGTGCGTATCATGAGTGTAGCAAGTCGAAGATCTTGCAATCCTGCTCCCCTAAAGCTCCAAATGCTTTGAGAACCCAAAGGAAGCTTGATTGCTCTTCTCCAGTTCCTCTGTACAAGGGCTGTGTCTAAAAACCGCTCACCTCCAGAGAAAGCCAACAACATGAAGGTCCAAGATGGCAACAAAGTGCTTGTATATTCGAGGAAAATACGGTAAATGTCGCAGAGTATTTGATGTCACAACTTGCAAAGGCATGTTTTCTGCGGGGTGTTGCCGCGGTGTTGCCGTTTTCTTCGAGCCTTATCCTCATCTGGCCCAAAATTTCCAAACGACCCCCCTTTCGGCATCAGCAGCCGCCCATTTCAATAGAGCACCAGTCTCCTGCATCTGGTGAGCAGCATCTAACTGGTGCCAGTCGGACAGGAGTCCAGACTTCTGATCGAGAACGAGCTTTTGCAAGGATCGATTGAACTGCTCGGTATTAGGGATTTTCGACAGGATTTCCTGTACATCTTCCTGTCTGGAGGCTTTCATGTTTTCCACATGAAGATCATGCAAACTCGCGGCGTGTTCTTGTAACACCGCCTTCGAGTGAATTTTCACCTGGCATCCGAAAGGTTTGGACTTCCACCGTCGAAAGTCAAAAGAAGAAAAGCAGGCACGGTAGTAATATAGAAGAAATGCATATTATAGACTGATATCCTCCTTCATTGTTGGGTTTGGTGCTTTTAGAGGCAGTCTATAAACTGTTGCCTTTATAAAATGCCTGAGAGGAGAGACTTCCAAAAGTGTCAAGCTGGGCAAAAGGCATCAAAACTATAAAATCAGGCAAGTGGATTCTCAGCACTACAAGAACGGTAAAGAAAAAATAACAGTCCCAAAAACGGCAATATCAGATTGACAACAGAAAATTGACCAAAAACATGCAGTCTGTAAAATGGCCATGGAGGGTCCCACTACCAAAAAAAATGAACAGAAAGGCACAAAATTGCACAAACTCAGAAACTGTAAAATGCCTCGCAACATCGCAGACCTTTGTCAAACACTGCCAGAACTCTCAGGTAAAGATTTACCAGAAAGCCTGTGGGATGGTGTCCAGCTAGTTACAAAAACCCCATTGGGCTCTAAATGTTTCTGATTTGAAGATTTGCCCAAAAGTCTCCATTTAGCCAACCAACACTGCAAGAACAGCCAAGCAGGTGAATTCCAGCTAATTACATCTAATTGCAAAGACTGCTTGTCTATAAAATGGGGGAGGGCAGGTGCAAGGGCCCTACCTACAGCAGGCACCCACCAGATGCATTTTATATACTACCATTGTGCCCGGATAAAACCTTGAAATTTATAAAATGCCAACATGGAAATGGACCTCACATAAAAGAGGGTCAGATGTGGCATAATGTAGGGTGAAAACATCGGCATGTTATAGGCTAACACCGGTGGGGGATATACTGATGTATACAACTGAACATATCGCACCATTAACTCGATTGGATACATCCCAGCAAATTTGCTTTTGGTCGTTTGTCATCCACTCTAAAGCGGCGTCCGAAACCTGCGCGCAGCACCGACCGATTTCAGTTTCAGCATTGGGAACCTCGGACCTCATCATGTCCCTTCATTAGATAATCATTAGGTGGCTTCAGGTTTCTCGCTTGCGTGCTTATTTGTGCTTACCCCGACCACCTCCATATCCAGGCACAAAGACTTACATCACCAAGTGGCATGCTGCAGGAGTTCCATCTGCCGTGCTTGCACCAGCTCCGCAACGCACCAAGCTCGATGAAAGAGGTTGAAGGAACGATCCACTGCCACTACCTGGGAGAAGTCCGAATCGCCTTAGTAAACATGTCTGTTCGTTCTCGGTCTCCACACTTCCTTCATATCTCTGGCTGCCCTTTCTCAATAAAACACGGAAACGCAATACGCTGTAACGCTAATCCGAATGCTGCTGTTCTGCAAGACTGTACGAGCTTTCGACCTTTTGCGCCCCACACAACAGGAAGTCACCCCACAAAATCCAAAAGTCGCCCGACGGAAGGAATTCCCAACGGCACAGCTACATTCATAGATTCTGTGTTAAGTTAAGTGTATATGTGTCTGCGCCACTGCGTTTGTGTGAGAAAACGGGCACAGTACCATCAAGACATACATGCATCTGCATGGCACAGCACGGATGCACACCATTTCACGCTGGTTGCCATGTCTTGCACGCTCGCACACACTCACGCACGCGCACTGCTCAATCAAGACCACGTTGGCGACCATTCATGCCGACCGAGACCACTTTTGAAAAAATCACCTCATCAAGAATAACTTTTGCGCGTGTTGTCCATCGTATTTCCTCATATATAGGCCTGTGTGCGCTTTGGAGCCTGGACGCTACTAGCTGCGTGGCCATGTGCGCTTTGGAACTTGGGCGCTAAGACCGATGCGTCAGTTTCATTTCATTTTCAAGCCACACACCTAAATATAAAGTCCCCAACGGCACAGCGGACATAGGACATTCTTTGTGATACACATACATGGTCTTGTGGAAGCTGCTGCGCCAATGCGGTTCACCAAAAAACTGTTCACGTTTGACAGACTTGCCTTCAAACAATTTACACTCAAAAGCTAGTCCCCCATGGCACAGCTGACATGAGACTGTGAATGGAATTGATGAAATGCCCATGTGTGGTCTTGTGGGAACAGCCGTGGCAACAGGAACTACCGAGTGGTGAGGCCTCGCCTGCATGCGCACTTCCCAGGTTGGAGAAATCAATGCTCGGGGTTGTTACATTTCGGACGTCAACATGTTAGCCCTTCCCCTGTTGTGAATTTTTCCCGAATGCGTAGCGAAGGGTTCAAGCGACTGCAACCACTGGCAACCGTTCGCAAGCTATGGCGCTGACATTGGGCGAATCTTTTGGAGAAGGCTTTAGATGAAAGCATGTCGCGCCAGATTCGTGTGAAATAGCGTGGGAATGTGTGGAGAGGTGAGAGGTTGAAGTGCGGAGGATGATTTTACTGCGCAGGTGCAGGGTTTTGTGCAATCCTTGGCTTTCTTCGCTGTGAACTTGGGTTGGGATTGGCGCTTCGAAGGCAGTATTTTTGAGGCTGGGTGTTTGATGTGGCTGTGACATTGGGATTTGCGTTTCAGGGTGCGTGTTGGAGGTATCGAAGCTGAATATGCATAGCAGGAATCGTGCGGCTGCAACGTTTGGTGGAGGGGAACGTCGCAGTGACATTGGGATTGATGGTGTGTTCAGCAGGTGTGTGGTTTTTTCTTGCGGGGCTGGGATTGCGAAACTGCTTGGCAGGGCTGCAGAATGTGCTTGCTCTGATGAAACTTCCGCTTCACTTTTGAAAGAAGCCTCGCACGAAACGCTCGTTTTGGAGACACTGATGCATGACTGTTGGAGGAAGCCTCGAACGAAACGCCCGTTTTGCAGACCTGACGTCGTATGAAACATTTGTTTTGGAGACTCGAAGTCGTGCGAAGCCCTCATTTTGGAGACTTGACGTGTGACTTTTGGAGGAAGCCTCGCAAGGGTGTCCGTCAAGAGTGTCCTACACAAGTGCCCCTACAAGAATGTTCCGCTAGCGTGCCTACAAGAGCGTTCTACAAGAGTGTCCCACAAGAGTGGGTGTCATACAAGAGTGTGCCACTAGAGTGTCTCCTACAAGTGTGCCCCACGAGGGTGTCCCACAAGAGTGTCGCGCAAGAGTGTCCCACAAGAGAGTCCTATATACAAGAATGTCCTACAAGAGTGTCCCACAAGAGTGTCCCACAAGAGTGTCTGCATTCGGGTTCCATCTTGTTTTTTGCCCGCTAGCGATGGCCTCCAACCTAATAGCAAATGGGTCGCGTCTTGGTCAGTTGCCTTCTCAAGTTCTGGTCGCCACCTTGAGGGAGTTTCTGAACGTGGGACAGGTCACTAGATGCCAGAAAAGCCATCATGTCATCAAACTTGTTCATTTCGCAGGCTATACTGCGGCCAGTGGATGTCAAGGGCGCCGTCGTGTTGAACTGCTTCTGCAGGTGGCAATCGCAGGCGGTGTAGGGCAGCTTGGTAACTGAGTCGCATCCATCGTTAGGAGTTTCACAAATCCCCAGATGTTGATTCACAGCGAAAGCACAAATCCAGTAGACCCTGCCGCCAGTTCCTCGAAGCTGGTGTTTGGTCATTCGGCTAACAACTGAAACAAATGATAGGGGCCATGGTACAGAAGCCACCCACTTGGCAATTCAATCACCAAAAGCTTAAGGCTTAAGAGAGCTTCCGAATTGCTTGCGGGTCATCCAACTCAGTGAGTTGTCCAAAACGCTGAAGAATGGGCACTACAGCACAACGTGCTTTAGAAAGCTTGGTTGACAAAAAGGTTCACACCAGACTCCAATCCCAAGAAAACTTCCTTTAAAGGTCTGGCTTCCTTGCGAGCGTAGGAGGTCTTCTACAATGTCAATGTTCTCGTCCAGCAAGTGGGCAACCAGCTCAAAGGCGGGCTCATTCACTGCGTCCGCAATGACGGCCGCAACCAAATCTCTGAAGAGATTCTGCCAAGAATGGGTCACCTACATGGTGTCAGAAGATTCTGTTACATCAACACCTACAGCATGCCTCTCTTGGTAAAGATCTAGTCAGGAGGAATCCCTTACAGACATCCCGATCATTCCAACCTCATCTTCCTTCAGGGTAAAAGGCACACCTCTAATCCAAGCTTTTCCCATGCCCAATCATCTTCCTCTTCCCCAGGTTCCCTCCATCAAGCGGCCATCTTCTGAGGCTTCTGCTCGCCCACAAGTGTCGAGTAGGCGCAGCGTTGCGCCTTCGTCGCAGGGATAATTGCCTGGCGCACCACGTCACAAGTGGTGTGCACCGAAGGATCGTAGTGGGACATCAGCGACGTACCCAGCCTCAGATGCAACCCGCACTGGGTAGGAAGCTGGACAGTTCTGCCTGAAGCTGGCTATTGGCTGGGTGTGAATTTCAGGCTTGCTTCGTGAAGTCTCAGGCCCTATTGCTCGGGGGGTGATCTGGATCCGGTCACAACCGCATGGACTTGCGCTCATGGGTGTTGCGGAAAAGCACAAAAGTATTTCTGGGTTACTGGGTACGCTGGAGGAGGTGGTCGCAGAGAGTCGTTGTGCGTGCCACTTTCTGGACTAAAGTGACTGAGGCATTTACCAAAGATTCTTCTCGAGTGGCTGCTTGTAGAAGGACAAGAGCGTGGTTGCTGAAATGCCTCTGGTCGACAACTCTTCCACTTTAGCCCTCCATGCCTTGGTCTTCAAAGCAGCTAGGTGCTGTGCAGCACGAAGAGAAACAAAGGTCGTGCACAAAGAACGGGCATGTGAGATGATCCTTGAAAAGGATAACCTTTCTGATTGTCCAGAGTCCAGATGTGCTTCCCTTCCCTGCAAGCTGGATCCAATTTCTACGACTTCCATGCTATGAAACAGGTGTGATTGACAAAATAAGACCATATACTGTATATCGTTGAGAAGTCTTAGGCACTTAGATTTTGGCATTCCCCCTTCAGGCCTTCAGGCCTCAAATAAGGACAACATAGGACAGCACCGAGACGAGCCAACAAGTGGCACAGCAATGCGCTTGGTCCTGACAAGGTGCAAGATCTGTATTGGGAAGTACCGAGCTGCTTCGACTGAGGAGTCGCCAAAAGCCCATCGGCTGTCCTGGGCCAGAGAAAGGACCGGCTCACTGTGCCAACTTCAACCATGACCCCTCCAGGCAGGCCACCACGACAAGAATGAGGATGACAACAGGCACAACAGCAATCAATCAATCTGTGCACAGAAGGAAAAAGGAACGCTGGGCGAAGAAAGAATCTCACCGTCAACCTACTGTCTTGTCCAAGAGGCGTTCAAGAAAGCTTGTAGCCTGGTGTGCATTGGAGAGAAACCAGGCACCACACCTCAAATTCACTGCGCAACTGGCTATGGATCACCCTTGCTGAGACCATAGGTTCACCTGCAGAAATCTCTCTAGAGACCAGAGACCTGTCTGCCTGCCTATGTGGACACCAATCCTATGACCCACTAAGTGTCTTGCCACCTGTCCCGCATCCTCTGGAGAAAGCGGGGGCGCAATGTGAGTCAGTGTGACTGGGACAGACCTTGGAATCTGACTTAAACAACTAATGTCCTTCCCCTAGTCGCTATGCGCTGAAGTGCCTTAATCCAATTCTCTGCCATCTACAGTGGATTCACGAACTTCCACCACTTCAAGCTTTGCTCTATTCGATTCAATGGAGCCCTGTAAGGTACAGAATCGGAGACTGCCTTAAGGTACATTTTGGAGAGTTGCGTCACAAATCCGTCCTGTCTCCTGCCCGCCTTGCTTGCCCCCTTTCCAGCAGAGCCTTTTAACACCTTTAGCACTTGGCTCAAGGACTGAGGCGCAAGTTGGCAAGCAAGTTCATGATTTGAATAGGAACTCCGCAATACCTCCGCGAGATTTGTATAACTCGGCAAATGTTATCATATAAAATATGACCCTCGGAACAACAAAAGCGGTCAGCGGTCTTATCAAAGGCCATGTATATAGAGTGTGGCATATGCCGGACACCTTAGAATAGTATATAAAAAGAAATGAAAACTTACTCTTTCAAGCATGAGTTGCAAGAGAAGACCCTCCAAGGGATGACACTGTGCTTCAGTAAACTGAATGATTGCCAGCCCTGCTGGTGCCAGGATGTCACTAGTAAAGATAGCCAACAGAAGTCCCACAAACTGCCGGAAGACTGACAGGCGAGCATTCCTGGGCATGCGATGCACGGCGTGCACGATTGACCTTTCCTCGAGACAGGAAGTCGAACCTTTCAGCACAGTATGGAAAATGCACATTATTGGGACATTCCCCATTGTTGTGGTGAGAGAACAAGCATAAATTAAACCCCGCTTTTGTCAACAATCTGGCATCACATCAACACAGATTTCTGGCAGATCTTGGTGTATTGACCCAAATCAAAAATCTGCAAAGCCCTCTTTTGCTGACAGAAAAATGATGATTATTGTAGACAAATGCTTTCCAAGGCAGCGGTGAGCACTCTCGTACCCGTGTTCCGTCCTTCAAATAGTTTCCAGCCCCATAAAGGACCACCCACACATCAAAAAACGGAGGCACTACTGTTGACCGACAGTAGCATTCTCCTCGAGAACAAGAAGAAGCAGGGTCGGCCGTGCCTGAGAAGCCATGAGGTCCTGACGGGATCTTTGATTCAAGATAAGCTTCTTGAATGCATCGCGGCAAGCTTCGCTGCCTCAGTTGTTCTTTTTATACACATGAAAAGGAGTCAAGGAGTCTCTGCAAAACCAGTTCTTCAGGTTCATCCCCTGAGGTCAGGACGAAGAGCCTCCAAGTATATGGACTCTCACCTCTCCTCCATCTCTACTCTAATCTGAAGTGTTTCTCATGCCCGGCAACATCTTGTATTTTTCTTTGGGCTTAAAGCAAACAACATATGCACATATACAAATCCGGCAACGTGACCCTCTCGCCTTTCACGAGGAGTTTCAAGGAACTCAGCTCCAGGGCTCGCGTTCCCAAGTTTCTAAGGGCTGCTTTGCTCTACACAAAGTGGTCAGACCAATGCATCGCAGTACCGCAGACTCCAAAAAAGACGAATGTCACCATGACTCAATGGTTTGTGCGAGGAAGCACGAAAACTTGAGAAAGAAGGACAAGATGACTAGAAACCAAAAAATGGAGTGCCCCACAACAATCAAAGCAGAGCACAACTTCTGTGAAAGAGCAAGAGTGGTTCGAGGTGCAGTCGTGGTGACCTTTGGGCTCAGCTCGCGAAAGGTGGCGCCTGGCTGAGCAGAAGGTGGAGAGCAGGATCAGTTGAAACGCCAGCAGCGTCACCACGGCGATCACGATGGGTGGATACATCACCTATCGCCGAGCTGTCAAGCATCAGATCTGAGCAACCCATGGATAGCAGCTGAATGAAACCCTTATGCAACGCTGGCTGTGGTATGGCGAACAACAATAGAAACCGCGAAATCAACTGGTTCTGCTCTGGCGAATCCGATCCAGAAAAATTAGAAATTATTCCCGATTACCAAAAGACACGATGCTATCACGAGCACCAGACATGATTGCTTTGACTTGAGGACTGCGGAGAACACAACAATCCGCTTCGTGGTGTCAAAATGAATCTTGACTGAAATGTCTCTTATAACGTCGGAAAATTAGCATCGTTCAGCTTCCCCCGATACCGGTGTCCAAGCCACAGCAGGGCTGGGGATGTTCAAATGAGCCAAAACTGCATGGTAGCTCTCCTCTTGGAAGATCCGCCATATGACCAGCGCAGGGACCCAGAATGCCAGGCAAAAAACCAGCACCTGGCCCGAGCCAGCCAAACATGCAGTGACAAACAACTTTAAAGCTGATGGCGTTGTTTCAGACGTGATTGCCGTTCAGACGGTGGCCTTCCCGAGTATGGAGAGCATCCTCAGAAAGGGGGAAGGCTGCAGCCACGTTGAAACTTGACAAGAGGGAACAGCAAAAACACAGCTGAGTATATAACTTTGTATGGTATCCACATGAGAGTCAGAATCTGAATCTGAGTTCGGCTTTTTTGAGTAAGCGACTGGCATTTCTAGTCTTTGACAGACTGCTACGGCACAGCATACAGTATTGGCTGCCTGTTCAGTATGAATGTAGTACATAGTGCCTTCAATCCCTCGGCATAAGCCGCGAGGTCTTTTGTTGTCTTGATGCTGCCCTTCTAAAAGGTTACATTTATGGTTGCCATATGTTGCCATTAACGTCTTAAGGAGCACTGCATCCGTGGTCTATATCAGTGTGATGGATCTCAATTTGGGCAAAGCATCTTTAGCTTCCAGCATCGAGGAGACTCAGGTCCATGCGAGGCCCTTTCAAGAATATGCACTCGGTGAAGACCTCGGGCTCGCTGGAGTTCAGTTTTGGAGAGCCAAAAAGAGTAGCAAGTGCAACTCTTGTGAATCCCGACCCTGAAACCTGTTGCTTTGAAGACCTGGGATCGCAAGCATCAATCCAAATTGGATCGTGTGGGATAAATCTGATAGGGCTCACCGAAGACCTCCACAAATCCGCACAAACCTGCTCTGCTGTCCGGTCTCAGGCCAGCTACCTAAGCTTTGGATCCATAGAATCTCGATCCCAATCATCCAACACCGGAGTGCAGCCACGAAGCTCTCCTTATATAAGTGTCAGAGCAAAAGAGAAGTAAAGGGAAGGCGGTGTTTTTAAGCCTTCGTCTGGAATAGATTATGTTTTCTGTCAACATGTGTGTTCATTTGACGCCACAACTATCCGCCCAAACCTATCCTGAAAACAAAAAATCCACCACATGCGTGTGTATATACATATATAGTATGCGTGGCATGTTTCTATTTTTATATATATGTATGTCAAAACATTGGCAGCCGACTCCGATGGGCTGGAAACAGCGGGCTTCTTTTATGGACGCTCACGTGTGTGTGTGTGTGTGTTTTTTAAATATATATATATATATATACATGTGAATCGGATGATGTGCTCGGACCGATCGACCACCTTCGAATGAGAACCTCCAAACACGGACACGTGTTTGGCTCAAGGCCACAGGACCGAGGACGGCAAGACGCACCAGGAAAAGGGTGTGCACTGGGAGGGTGGTGGACCACCGTTGATTTAGGTTTGGTTGTAGGTTCCCCTAGGTAGATTTGTTGTTGGGGCGAGGAGGCTACCTTTGTGGGTGGAAGGATTTCACCCACATTGGTAGCGGAGCCCATTAGCTCGGGTGAGGCATCCGCAAAGCTATGGGTTCAGAAGCTGCCAGTTCGGAAGACAAGTCCAACAATGCAATCTGGACTCTTCTACCCAGTTTTGATCCAGGTCATGACGATGTGAAGGAGTATATAGCCAAGGTTCGATTCCTGAGCGGGATTTGCCCGAAGAAAGACAGGCCAATGCTGGCCCCTCGACTAGCGATGCTTTGCAAAGGAACTGCCTGGCATCAGGTCAGGAATATCAAGCCTGAACTCCTCACGAACCCCGAGAACGGCGTCAAGACATTGTTGCAAGCTTTGTCGGCCTGGGAAGAGAGCGCTGAGTTGAAGACGTTCGAATTGTTTGAGAAAGCCATCTATCGCACGATCCAAAAGGGTGATGAAAGCACTCAGTCATTCGTGAACAGATTGGATGTTGCTTTCGAGGAGGTCGGTCAGGACACGACGCTGAAATCAGTGATTGCATTCGTATTACTGAAACAAAGCAACCTGACCCACGAAGACAAGAAGAAGATCCTCACGATGACAAATGGAGTCTTTGAGAAAGATGTCATAGCAAATGCCATGAGGAGCCTATCCACGAATGTTCTGTCAGGACCTGGCTCCGAGAAGAAAAAGGTCTATCCAACGAACTATGTGGATGAGAATGTCGAGAATGAAACGGAGGATCAACAGATTCCCGATCAGAGCGTGCTGGCCGCACAGTTGGATGAGGAAGAATTCTCCTATGATCAGCTGGAGCAACTAGCAAAATCGGGAGACGCAGACGCATTGACAGTACAGAGTTTTGAGAATGAGCTCACCGAGTTGTTTCAGGAGGTCCCGGATCTCCCTTCGGCTTTGTTGAGCTATCAGGAGGCAAGAGGAAGAATCATTGAACGAAAACGAAACAGAGGTTTCTGGCCTTTGAGAAGCAGTTCAAGTGGCAAGTCAGGAAAAGGATTTGCTGGATCAAGCTTCAAAGGGTCAAGAAAAGGCCAGTCAAAAGGGAAAGACGAGCTGCTCAATAGGATCGCCCGGACACACTGCAAACGGTGCGGAGAGCTTGGACACTGGAAGGCAGAGTGCCCACAACGTCCAAAGGAGTCTCAAGCCAATGTTGCATCAGCTCTGCATATGTCCAGCGAGCAGGATTTGTCGGAGCAGGTCATCTTCGAAGAGATCGACTCAGATCAGGAGGTTCGGGAAAGCGTTGAAGAGGGGTTCAAAGATCCAGAGTGTTTGCATTCCTGTGTAACCCAAGATAAGCCAAAGCCGATCGAAGAAGCATATTTTTCCGAAGCCGTGATAATAAGAACCAAGAGTTTTTTCTCGAACCGGAAAAATCGATCGCCAGCCGAATCCAGGAATCCCAGACAGCAGCTGCCGGATCCTCAACCAGCAGCATTCGAAACTGGCCTCATCAGTAAAGAGTCATCGGCCGGATTCCAGACAAACGGCCTTGCAATACTCGACACCGGAGCGAGTAGAAGTGTGATTGGGGAAGAGAATGTTCCCAGTCTGATGAAACAGCTACCAGCACCAGTCCGAGCCTGTGTGAAAGAGAGAGCCAGCCATGTTGCATTTCGGTTCGGCAATAACCAAATAGAATATAGCTATAAACAAATATACACATACCCATAGACTTCAAGAGCAAACGTTTGTGGTTGATCGTTGAGGTGGTTCCAAGAGCAACTCCATTCCTGCTTTCGATCGAAACGATGAAACACCTCGGAACAGTGATTGACTTGCAAAAGAGTACATGCTTTTTGAAAGTTCTAGATAAGCAGATTGATCTTCAGAAAGGCAAAACAGGTCTACTCATGATTCAGATTGCGGATTTGTGCAAGAAGCCAAAACCATCGCAGAGCATTTTCGGAGCGAGCAGTGACTTGAGCACCGAGACGCCTTTCGTTGAGCATCATGCCCACACGCGGAGAGATGCTTCAGATGGTCAAGAGCATCGCAGAGCACGTGGTTCAGAGTCTTCAGACACTCCTGATGATCCTGTTGAACCAAGTGGCAACCCAAGTGTCAAATCAGGAGGTTCCGACAAATCAGGTATCCATGATGAGCGAGCTTTTGAGCGAGGTCCAGAACCAGCGAGAGAAGATCGAGGAACTGGCCACGATGATGAAAGAAAGCTCATCACCTCGTCGGAACGCAGAAGGATTCACTGTCCTGACGGAGAGCGATGTGGAAGTATGGGACCAAGAGGTTCGCATGTTTCAGACAGTGCATACACCACCAAGGCCAACAGTGGCCATGGGAGCAAAGTCGAGCCCTCCATCACGGACCAAGTCGACGGCAGCTGGAAAAGGAGCCTTCCAAGCCCCAAGCACATTGAATCAGCCGATTTCAAGTCTGGTTGGAATCGCTATGCCTGGAAGCCCACCGCGTCAGAGCCAAGTGATCGAAGCCAATCCAAGCACTCCACCAGTCCATCAGACACAGGGATTGGCATGGACAACTACGGCCATGGACCAATGGGGCCAAAAGACAGTGAGCTGGGGAAAGAAGCATCCTGGAAAGCCATTCGCTGTGGTCTACGAGAACGACTCCCAGTATGTGAGTTGGTGCCTGAGTCGCATGAACTCCCTCGAAGCTCCGATCAGCGACTTCGCTCGTTACTGCCAGACTCGCCAGCAGATGGAATCGCAATTGCACCAGAGCCAGGGTCATTTGTAGAGTGGGAAACCCTGGTAACCGATCTGTTGATTCGAGTTGAAACCGAGCTAGAAGCCAAGTTGCTGAAAGTAGTGAATTTGTCCAAACCAAGCCAAGCATATGGAAAACCCATAGACCTGCTAGAGGTATACGCACAGCCAAACAGCAAATTAGCAGAAGAGGTGATCAGGCAGGGGGGCAAAGCAGAGAGATTCACGCAAGAACATGGAGACTTGTCAACATTTCAAGGAAAAGTGCAATTGCTCGAAATGATCTGCCGACTGCGACCAAAACACGTTTGGGTTGCGCCAGAATGCCATCCATGGTGTGCATGGAATCGCTTCAATGCAGGTAGGAGCATGAAGTTGTATGAGAAGATTCAGAAAAGCAAGGAACTATCAAAGGAACACTTAGAGCTGTGCACTTTGATCTGTAAAATACAAGTCCAATACGGTAGACACTTTACTATGGAGAACCCAGGAACGTCAGACATATGGAAACAGCAAGAAATGAAAAGCATTTTGTCGTTGACCAAAACAGTGCATTTAGATCAATGCAAATTCGGTCTTGTGCACCCAGAGGACCATAGACCCCTGAAGAAGTTTACAAGATTGCAGACAACTTCGAATGAAGTAGTGAACAACATGGACGGTAGGTTTTGTGATAAGAAACATCAACATAGCCAGATAGCCGGTTCATGCAAGTTTCAGGGAGAACGCATGGCTTTGTCCAGATTTGCCGCGTTTTATCCAAGAGTGTTTGCCCGAGTCGCAGCAAGAAGCACTTTGCAGGAAACTCAAAAGTCAACCATACCCGTGATAGAAGAAGAAGATCTGTTTGAGACATTTCCAGCAGAGTCCGAAGAGAATCCTGCGAAGCGCCCACGAATAGAGCCACCACGAGAGCCGAAAAGAAAGGCTGAGCCCAGCGATCCCGAGAAGACCCTTCTCACCGATCCTGCCTGGGAAGACGTTTTTTGCCTGGATGCAGTCAAGTCTGCCTAAGTCCGGATCTGTCAGTGTCAAGATGGACGAATGGCCAGGTAATTATTTGACTAGTCAATGCAGCTTCCAGGTCAAACAGATACTAGCAGGAAAAGGGATGGACAAATACATGATTGGAGAATCCTCAAATGAGTTTAGGAAAACCATCTGTCAGTGCCGAAGGACCAAGCAATATTTCGATCTAGGGGAAGAAAACTGGACTAGACAAACGTTGAGACAGCAGAGACGATTAGCTATGCCAAGCCATATCATGATATGCATTTTTGGCAATCAGGTTCACGAAGGGCAAGCCGATCCGTCCGATAGACACCCTGACCCCGTTCGATCCGGAATAGAAGAGTTACAAGCAGAGCCAGAAGCCAGCCAATTCGAACCGAGTTCCAAGATCTGCCAAAACGCAGAGGAACAGCCGACGGAGCTGTCAGGAGTGCCAGTCCCAGCATGGTCACCCCAATCATCGAACAACCCAGGACCGAAGTTCTTGAGCCTCGACAGATTCCAGCAGTCCCTAATCAAGAGGATACACAATAATCTAGGACATCCAACAGCTGAGAAGCTAGCAGCCCACCTAAAAAGGCTTAAGTTTTCCCAAGAGCTGATAGACGGAGCAGGCGATTACTTGTGTCAGTCATGTTCAGAACGAGTGGGACCAAAGCTAACAACCCCAGGGAAACTGAAGGAACCTAAAGAGTTCAATGAGGTGATCACATTAGATGGTTTTGAATGGAAAAGCAGTTCAGGACAAAAATACTATGTGATACACATCTTTGACGAAGC